TTGGTAAAGGTCCTCCACATGTCTACCATAAGCCTGTTTGATCTGTATGGATAGATCTAAACATGAAATAGATGGGAAGATCAGGGGAAGGGAATTGGCTATTGGAAAGTTGAAGTCATCTTGCCGGATCTGTATGGATAGATCTAAACATGAAATAGATGGGAAGATCAGGGGAAGGGAATTGGCTATTGGAAAGTTGAAGTCATCTTGCCGGATCTGTATGGATAGATCTAAACATGAAATGGATGGGAAGATCAGGGGAAGGGAATTGGCTATTTGTTGGTAATCGAACGATATCAGATCATCGATATACCTGAAGCTTAAGTTAAACATTTCGTGACCAATTTTTCCAATCCGAGCAGGAATTCCGACTTATGTGCATAAAGAAATAGATCTGCAAGGAAGGGAGCACAATTGGTGCCCTTGGGATGCCTACTTCTTGCCTAAGTGCCTTAGCCCCAAATTTTTCAAAGAGGGTTATCAATGAGGTTGGTTGGTTGGTTTGTTGTTTTACGCCGCACTCAGCAATATTCCAGCTATATGACGGAAATATTCGAGTTTGGACCAGACAATCAAGCGATTGACATCATGAACATCGATCCACGCAATTGGGATCGATGACTTGCATCAGCGAGCCTGACCACCCGATCCCGTTAGTCGCCTTTTACGACAAGCATAGTCGCCTTTCACGGCAAGCATGGATTGCTGAAGACCTATGCTACCCCGGATATTCACGGGTCTTGTTGAAACCCAAAACATGTTATATTTGAATTACGTCTGCTGTGTTCAAAAGCAGAGAATCTGCTCTGTTATAGCCAAAGCCATTCAAAACTAGTGCGATGTGTTTTCACACTGACCCACTTATACCCGGACCGCGATGTCCCTACATTCTCCAGTCTATTTGCCATAGGAAACAAGATCAACATCAAATAGTATATAGGATTTCAAGTTTATTTGCCGAAGAGTATGATAAAAACGAGACTATCGGGAAAATCGGATGTGTAGTCACGGAGCGTTTACGTTTACATTAAAGATATTTGGGGATGTCACTGAGCTTCAGAAGTGATTAAATTTAAGGGTCATGTTCCTGAAGTAAACATTGATGCATCAAAAGTCAGAACCTTTCCAGGCCAAGAATCTAGCCTGACATTCTAGTACGGTTTGTCAGTGTGCTAGCACTATAGAATCGGCATTAGTTCGGACTAGTACAAGCAGACACACACACACGCGCGCGCATGAACGTCGCTTTCTTGGTGCAATAATCTTGGACACGACGTTAAACCTCATTTCACCTCACCTCAACCCTCCAAAATAGGTCTGTTTTTGTATTCAGTGTTTAAGTCTGTCATGAGAGGAACATAATTTCAGAAGAGCTAAGTCTGCACTTCACACTTGATATGTCTCATCAATTCCACATATACCTTAGCATACTCATGTTTTTTTTATATGAACTCTTCCGAGACTGTGTGCACGAGAATTTGAAAATGTCCCTTACATTACTAGATTTGGCAGAAGCGTCTACATGAGTATGATGCAAGTACTAGTATATATCAACAGGAACTATATATATATTATATTACTGAAGACGGATACATAAATGAATTCCAAATGATACACCTTTTACAATATTAACAGGGCCCACTTGCACAAAGCGATCTTAGCGCTAAGATGATCGTAACTCCCATACTTTAACATAGGCTTACAATAGTCTTAGCGCTAAGATCGCTTTGTGCAAGTTGGCCCTGGACTCCCAAAGCAGCAGCCTATATTGACACACGGTTTGGGCTTGCCTGGGGTACTCTCTTATCCCAATTGCGTAGATCAATGCTCATGTTGTCAATCACTGGATTGTCTGGTCCAGACTAGATTATTTACAGACCGCCGTCATGTAGTTTGAATATTGCTGAGTGCGGCGTTAAACAACAAACAAACAAACTGTCTTATCCAGGTCAAATCTGAGAAAAAACACTCCAGCTTGATAACTGGATAAGAATCTACATCGATGTATGCAATAAACCAGAAGTTGTTATCCATAAAGCTGTACATTTTCTTACTTACTCACAAACTTCTAGAATGCGAATCAAACACGACAAATCTGTTTGCTGGGCTAGCCTCAAGGTACCCCTTCCATTCAGAGAGCCAGTCATGTGTTGACGTAAGATGTCGGATGGGGGCCCAAATTTTTCAGTCAAAAGAGATACTAACGTATTATCCCTAAACAGGGTGATGTTACATAGGTTACCGTAAGGTGGCGGGGGATTTTTTTTGTGAGAACCTTTACGGTATATCACAGTAGGTTAAGGCGAGTAACCTGAAGACAGAGACATACAATGTACATACATACTCTTAACAAGAGAGATAAGTTCTAAGCCCGTGTGGAATAAGGGATATATGCTACAGGAAGTTATGTGTTTCGTGAATGTCTAAGGGATTTGGTTAACACTCCCGATTAGACGATGCCTTAATGTAATGTTTGTCAACTACTTGAACAACTTATGTTTTCATTGACAACAAACTATTTTCATGGTAAATCTTCATGAAGAATAGGATAAATTATTCTGAAACTGTTATTTTGTCCTTAAGAACTTGGGATAAAAATCACCTGTATTTCAACATTTAATTTCAACCTAGCTGAATACATTTGGTCACCGTGTTTTCAATGAATAATCTGTCATGTGATCTGGGTATAGTTTAGGAAGGACATGGGTGGTCGAGTTCAGGGTTTACATTTGAAAAAAAGATGATTATTTCATGACGGAATTTATCCTTTTTATATTTCTGTTGAAAACATATACAGTCGAACCTCGATGTGTCGAACTTGGATGTGTCGAATTCACGGTTGTCTCGAACTCATTTGGGAATCCATATATATATTAAGCATACCGTCCCCTGATGTCTCCAACGCAGATAACTCGAAGTCCCAACGAGTTCGGCACAACGAGGATCGACTGTAAATGATTTAATTATAGTGATATTGTAGGTACCCTTCTCCTACCCGATCACCTGTAAAACCTTCAAGTGTATGTGTGGGCGTAAATATGTTCCTCTGAACATTTGTTTTGTTGGAAACGATATACCAGGGGTTTTGTTCCCGTTGAACAATATGACCGGGAAAAAATCCACAGGAACAAAACTCCTGGTATATCGATTCCAACAGAACAAATGTTCATGGGGAACATATATACGCTCACATGTGCAGGTCGTGAGAACCGCTACTTTCGTCACCTGGACGCTAACGCTTTGTACTGTGATCTCAATCTCAAGACAAATGACACCAACATCAACACACCAGCCCAAAATGTAATGACGTAAATGCTAAATAGTCACATAAAAGCGAGAAAACACTTTCCATATTCATAAGAAATATCTTAAAGCATGTGTTTATGAATCACTACAAAATAGTGATGATATCACGTGTTCGCGAAAAGGTGAGCTTATCCTGCCCCACCGGTGACACCCATCACAAACACATGCAAAGGTAGGTAACTAGTTCACCTAAAAGAAACACTGGGACATTTCGTACAAGCCAAAATAGGGAATTGCATCGGACACTCTTCTTGTCACTGATTTCTCAAATTTGAAAATGTCCTCCAAATGTCAACAATAAATCGGTTTGGAAGCATTACTGAGGCCTTGAATGTTGCAACCTTGATCAAACAAATTCTGAGCAAGATTGGTATGGCGCTCTTTAAAATCTTGGTAGAAAGAGCATGCTATTTACATAAACTGTTATTTTAACTTATTAAAAAACGCACTGTCGTGACAGGCAAAACAGAAGGATAGTGTCACTATGTTAAGCGAAACAGAACGTGACTTGGCATTGTATAAATAAACAAACTACGAAGTTATATGCAATACAACACAACCGCCAGTGTGGATATCAATTTGAAACTGTGACAAACAGGTCGGACGAGTACACGCGGCCACATAAAAAAGGTACATGCGCGTCGCTATCAGAATGCAATAATCTTCAAAGCGACTTTAAAACCCATTTCACCTCACCTCATTTGCATGTCATATACTTTGACCTCCTATCGGATTAGCAATATACGAGCAAGTATGAAAGGACATTTGACTGTTTCTTTGTACCTCATGTGAGTCGACCGCCTCCGTGGTCTAGTGGTACAGCGTCCGCCCGGAGAGCGGAAGGTCCGGGGTTCGATCCCCGACAGCGTCATACCAAAAGACATTAAAAGATGGTACTTGTTGTTACCCTGTCTGGCGCTCGGCATTAAGGGGCTAAAACAAAGACTGGTCGGCTCGGAGTCAGTATACTGTGTGGGGTATTCATGTTAAACTGCGGCATGGTATCTCAGTGAGCTACATGTAGCACTATAAATCGGCTTCAGTTCGGACTGGTACAAGCAGCCACACAAACACACACACACACGTACATGCACGTCGCTATATAAGTGCAATAATCTTGGACGCGACGTTAAACCCCCTTTCACCTCACCTCTCATGTGAGTCTAACAGTAAATGTTTCCGTAACCTGGTGTCAGAAACATGATATGGAATCTCCGTCGAACAATCGACGTAATTTTTTTCTAAATGTAACAATCACTTACTTATTGTAAAGAATTTTTCTGTTAAAATTTCGTCCTGTGCCCATAGAGGTGAAAACGGCGTTTTTGTGCTTGCAGTCGTAATTAGTGAGCACATGGGAATTCATCGTGTGTTTAACACAGTACCAGCTACAGCGACAAGATTCACAACCTCTTCAAATGGCAAGCCTTAGGTCAGCACAGATCTGCATATATTCGTTTGATTTTCTTTCTGTGATCTGTCCCTTATAAATGTAAAACACTACTGTGTCCAAGAAACTTCAAGACTGTGTCTAAATATATTGCAACTGTACAATTGCACCCTTAGGAATCTACCAAAGCGATAATGTAATGTATTGTATATGTAAAATCTGCTCTTGTGCCACCATGCGTGGTTTCACGAGAATCTAATAAAAGAAACACATACACACTTCAACAATAAACAAAGGCGTCGTCATGAATCAATACAGTTTTATTTCAAACGTGTCAAATATAGAAATCAAGCAGTGTCTAAAATATATTTCAAACCCTTGCAAATACTCGTGAGCTTTCAAATATCAAATATTTTCATGATGCTCAAATTGTATTAACATTTATCAGTAAGTTGTCATCAATGACATTGTTACAAATGACTTCCATTTCATGAGCATGTCATTTACAAAACAACTGATGCGTTATTTTTCTGTTTGAAACAAATCCTGAGTATGGGCAATAAACGATTCATTTTCAACCCGCTTTCTGGTGACTATAACCTAAGCTGCAGTCTACTACTAGCATGGACTGAACGACATTGCAAGTTGTGTAGCTTCTAGTGTGTGAGTGAGTAAGTAAAACTGAAGCGTCATTTGGCACAATTAATGAATAACAATTTCTTTATTATTCTGTATATAGCGACGTTTCGCAAAAGATCCTTATACCGTTGTCAAGCAAGACTGTAAATATTGATATATACCGAAACGTCGCTGTTACAGTTTAATAATGAAGTTATTATCCATAAATTGTTTCTACTTAGTCATCCGTCAACTTCTAAGATATCTCTATCGAACAAGTCAGTTGGGCAGTATTGAGGGTATACAGGACCTATTAGCGTAAGGATACTAAAGTTATTTCAGAATTACACATTACATAATTAGGACAGAATTGGACAAATATTGATTAACATATAAATGAGTAAAAAATTGAAATTCTGAAAATTTATTCCTGTTAATTGAACATCGTTAATCCGATTTTTCTTTTAAAGCCGTGTCATTACCGACGGACCTCTGAGTGTTGTAAAGTACAAAAAAATCTTTTTATTTTCCGAAACGTGAAGCTTGCGTTCTTGCGACGTCCAATTGCCTATCACGTACAAGAGAACACAGGACAACATGTTTATGAGCAGCGCTTATTCTCTACACATGAATATCAGAAACATGCTTAAAGGGACAACACAAGACTGAAGGGACCACCAGTGCCCCGCAACGCCAACCCCAGAAGTAGCAGTACCGCCCCTCAAAAACACAGGGGGTATGCTAGGTTCAAAACATCCCGCTTCTACTTCATCAAATTGTGAGTTTTTAGCCATTTTGAATGTCATAGAATTGCAAGTCTTAGGTTCCATGATTCCAAATCCTTTTCCGTAGAAGTTATTTCCATCCTGCTCGTACAGCTTCCATGTGGCAAATCCGTACTTAGCTATCAGTTGTTGCTGGGTATCATTGTAGTATACTTCAAGGTTACCGAAGCCTTTGTGGTAATATATTCCCTCGTATTTTTTGTGATCATGTGACAAACTCTTGTCCATTTTGTAGCTGGCGGAAGAACTCGTTTCGTTGTACCAAGGTGCTGGGAACGAGCATATGGTGGATACGTTCAGCCACGGCTCTTCACCTACAGAGACCAAGAATGTTACAATCAATGAATCTTCTTGGACTACAGATTACACATGGGATAAAGAGGTATGATAAGAATCCTTTGAACTCATTGGAACGGTTACATGTAAGAACTGACAATCACTTTTAGAAATTGTCTAAATTTGTTCTTTTCACCAGCTGCATGGTATGGAGTTAAACCAAAAAGCAGAGGTAAGGCTAAGTGTGTGAAAAAAGGCCTCAGTAAAGCTGAGCCAGGTGAGGTGAGGTGAAATGTGGTTTAATGTCGCGTCCAAGATTATTGCACTTATATAGCGACGGGCATGTACGTGTGTGTGTTTGTGTGGCTGCTTGTACTAGTCCGGATTGATGCCGATTCATAGTGCTAGGTCACTGAGATACCATGCCGCAGCTTAACATGGATACCCCACTCAGACACAGTATACTGACTCCGAGCCGACCAGTCCTTGTTTTAGCCCCTTAATGCCGAGCGCCAGACATGGTAACAACAAGTACCATCTTTTAATGTCTTTTGGTATGACGCTGTCGGGGATCGAACACCGGACCTTCCGCTCTCTGTGCGGACGCTGTACCACTAGACCACGGAGGCGGTCATCGGACACAGCTAACTCTTTGTGATAATGACGTCGCTTTCCTGGAATCCCCACGGCGTTGGTATATTTATTGAAAATGTTACCAAAGGGCGAACAGTAACAAGGACCTTACCGAGGATGTGGTCAGCGATGTAATTCTGCAGAGGGAACCTGTACTTGTAGTTAGGGTCATCGCCCGTCATGGCGATGAAGATGCCGAGTTTCTCGGTGGGCAGCAAAGTCAGCAACGCCCTGTAGCCCCACGTTGATCCACTGTGGGCGATCATCTTGTAACCTGTTTTAGGTTAGTAATTTTACCATCAGTTTCAGTAAGTTCTATAAATAACTCCGTACCCGAACGAATATCGACTATATGCTATTATCTGTTAAACCCTCACTTTCTGCATTTCCGGCAGTGCAAGATTTACGAACATCTTTTGCAAGGTCGACAGAGAAACAATGTGCCTCTCACGGAAAACAGTAGGGCAACAGTTGTCATATTTATATCCCACATGGACAGTTCCCAGTACAGACGTAATAAAAACATAATGATCGCCGGACATGCTGAATGAATTGTAAAATACTGTTGTGCGAGTATAATAACTTGTTTGGCGCTTTCAGAACAAAATGTATGTCTGGAAGCAGACAAATATTCTGTTCCAAACAACAATCCCGGGTCCCCTGGAGTATTAAAACAATACGGAGATCATAAGTGGATAAGGCCAAAGATAGAGTCTTACCTCGGTAATAGCCCACCCTGAAGCCAAAGGCATACATGCCGAAGACAGATGTGAAAGGAGTTTCGGGCTTATTGAAGTATTTGAGGGTGTAAGACTTCATTGCGGTTCTGGCCGCATACAGCTCATCGATGTCCGTTTCCTCCATAACCCTCCTCCCAGAAGGATCCAGACCTTTACTCAGGTGAAACCTCATCCAGTTCGCTGCATCCACAGCAGTAGTGACAACACAGCCCGACCCACACAACAGGGCCCATCGCCTGCAAGAGAGTACCTCTCATCTGGGGTATTTGTTAAAACCATGCGTCTTCCCCTTAAATACATGCACGGGTGTGCAGTTCAAGAGATTATTGGGTCCCGAACTACAAGTGGCTATGAATACCGCTGAATAAAATGGGCTCTTGCAACACGTTTAGGTGTATCAAGACGTACAGATTTCCCTTGTATGTTTGCTTTGGAAGTGTTTTACTGTTTGAAGAGACCCACAATTCCTGTGAATGGATAATCTTAGTCCTTGTACGAATCCGGATTGATGCCGATTGATAGTGCTAGCCAACTGAGATACCATGCCGCAGTTTTTGTATCCAAACATTCTTTTCTGTCATTATTCTGTTCCATGGTACAAAAAGAGGTCGGCCGATAATGAGTATAACAGATATCTTGATTTATTAATAATTATTATTTGGCTGCATATGTGTTTTTCTATTAAAAAATCAACAGTTATTTCTTACCGTGAAAAGTCAACATTGAGAGGTGTTGGTGCCCCGTCTTTAATGAAGTAGGGCTTTGCAACCTGATTTTGTGAGAAGTCCAGCGTGGTAGCAAACGACGATGACGTCATCTGCAGTGGATCATACAGCTCCTTCTGCACCAGGTTCTCCCACGTGTCTCCTCCCAACACCTCCGCTATCCGCGTCACCACTCCATACATCAAGTTGTTGTAGATGTAGCTCCCCCGCCATTCCCCTGTACTGCCCAGGTATTTGATTCGACTGGTAACAGATAGGACAATCCGCAATATATAAGATAAATGGTAACACAAAGGACACACTGCGGTAACTGATAGGACAAACAGTAATAGATAGGCCCAATGGTAATATTTAGGTCAAATGGTAACATATAGTACACAGTTTGGTAATTGGAGGGACAAATTGTGATAATTAATTGGACACAGGGTAGTAGGTCAAATGGTAACAAAAGATTATAAATTCTTGTTATTTAAATTGATAGGTCGTGACGTTGCAGGTTTGTGTGAACATTGTTTGACATCATGTTGCCCACCGAGTGAAATCAGATATGTCACGAGCTGCAATGTAGAATAAGTCAAAAGACTATGTCATCGATGACATTGTGTGTGGAGACAATGTTTCGACCAATTGGTCGTATTATTGATGGTATCAAATATGGACATTTTTAAGGAATGTTCTCCTTCAGAATGCAGAATTCAGAATCTTAATTCATTTTTTGTAGACTTTTTTTTTGCCTTGAAAACCGATGTCAACCATTGCAAGGTCAGATATACTGTATTTAAACCTGCCGAGACATGTAGTGTGAAGCAAAACTGTAATTAAAAGGTACATGTATGTGTGTTACATCTGGCAAAGCATTAACGACATATTGCGGACAGGATATGCTGCATAGCTAATGCTATCTATATACAGGTCGCCCTACGCGTGATGTTATTTAAATATTTAGTACTGTTTATAACTTTCGCATTAGCTAGTAGCATATTTGAGGCCATTTATTCAGATCGAGTGAGTGAGTGAGTATGGTTTTATGCCGCTTTTAGCAATAGTCCAGCAATATCACGGCGGGTGACATCAGAAATGATCTTCACACATTGTACCCATGTCGGGAATCGAACCCGGGTCTTCGGCGTGACGAGCGAACGCTTTTACCACTAGACTACCCGACCGCCCCTTTATTCAGATCGAAAGAAAGTGACAGAATTAGATAGGTAATGATTGCGGATATCGTCTGGTTGTCATGTTCAAAAGACCAGTCCAGTAGATTCTTGAATAACAAAATGGCCATGGCTCACACGAAATGTCTGTAAAAATGTATCTGTCCTCAGTTTGTGGAGGCACATATGCACTATTTCATATATAGGAATATCCGTTGTGGCGAATGTGGAGATAATAAATGTCTGTCTACAGTTAATCACAGACGAAAGGGTGTTAGAGACTGTGAAGGACAAGTGTAGAATTTGAGACCGTAAAGATCTGACTGGTATTTGAAGGTCGTGTATTTACCCGATTAGGTTGGCTCGGGTGAGGTTGGTGTCAAACCGTATGTTGTTAAACGGACGCAGGCCTGTCCGGTGGGACAAGATGTCCTCAAGGGTCGTGTATTTGGTCCGAAACTCATCTGGGAAAGCAAACTCATCTCCAAGAATATCTACAACCTTCGTTGACAGCGTGATACTGAAACAGAAAGCACATAATTAGTTGAGGGATGGTACAGTCAATTTTGTTATGTACTCTTAAAAAAGAAAGAAACGCAAAGCCAGCTTTGTGTGAGGTAGGCAAATACACTTATACGAGGAACCGTACAAGGTATTGAGCCAAAATGATATGGAGAGAACACTTGGTGATTGTAGTCATCACTGTTATCGGTACATAGGAAAAGTCCAAGGTGAAGGTCAGATGGAATCGATAGCGGCCTGAGATCTTCTGCCCGTGGAAGAGACGAGTATGCGAATCACATCCTGGGGAATGGTAGCCCACTCGGCCTGCAACGCAAAAGCCAACTGGTGCAACGTCTGGGGTTGTGGTTGACGTTGCCGTCTATCCGATTCATCCTACAGATCAAATTCGGGCAGGGGAGAACATCAACGTTGTTGTTGTTGTGTAGACAGGCTCTTGTGACCCGTGCTGTATGCGGTCGGGCGTTGTCCTGCTGGTATACACCATTGCCGTTGGCTGCAATTGGGAGGACGTGTGGTAGAGGAATTTCGTTGATGTATCGTTGAGCCGTAAGATTGCACTGGAAATGAACCAAACCTGTCCTGCCATGATGAGAGATAGCCACCCACACCATAACGCTACCCCCATCAAACCTGTCCACTTCTTGTACGCAGTTTCCGGCGTAACGTTCCCACCGACGTCTGTAGACCCGTGCTCATCCATCCCCTCGACGGAGGAGAAATCTTGATTCGTCGCTAAACCAGACATCTCTCCATCGCAGTTGAGGCCATACCCTGTGTTCACAACATCAATTCAGTCGTTGTTGACGATGTTGTCGACACAATATGACGCATCGAACAGGACGTCTTGCTCGTACACCTGCTGCTCTTAAACGTTTCCGTGCGGTCTGGTCGGAGATTCTGCGCAGTCCGGGTATTTGGGCTGCGGTTGAGGTGGCTGTGGTCGTCCTTTCACGTAGGTGGCGCTGTCGGATGTAGCGATCTTGGGCGGGGGTAGTTACTTTTGGTCGTCCCGACCTTGGCCGATCACGTGTTGATCCATGCTGTTGAAACCGATCCCATAGCCTTGTGATGGTGTGGAGCACTACATTGAAAACCCTGTCTACAGCTGATCGGGATTCCCCTGACTGCAAGTGGCCTATGATCTTGTTTCATTGCACTTCTGTTAATCTTGGCATGTTGCTGAACTGTCACTGTTCGATTGACGCAGATCCCAGGCAATCAAAAACCCTGCACTTTAATACCGTTCATAGTGCTGCTGCACGTGCAGTACGTGCAGCTCAATGGCCCTTTTGCTGATGCACTAGGTGCGTTTTTTCCGAATCGTACGTCTTTCTCGGCTAATGGTTTGCATGTCCTTGCGATCATTCTGATACGGGAATTTGCCACTGACACTATAACACATGAAACCTCTTCATTTTGCACCTCTTGGTCCGCAGATTTTGCTTTTATGGCCATAAATATCCATTTTGCGGTTCTTTTTTGGAAGAGTATATATTTGTTTCTTTAAGACGCAGTCAGCAATATTCCAACAACAACAAACGTTTGTTTCGTTTCAAAGTCATAGCTATGACATATTGATATTATACAAAGATATGTGATGTGACACGATGTATCAACTAAGACTGGACACGGTCAAACTGGGGTTAGTGATTGAGTAAGCACGGTATTATACCGCTTATACCGTATTATACCTTATAAACATTATTCCAGCAATACCAGTGCTTGCTGAGGGCGGCCAGGTCACGTATTGCAACCACATGTTCGTCATTTTATTCGGCTCTTACCCCCAAACATGAATGTTGGGGATCTATTCTGTCCCTACATCACAAGGGGAGAGAGTTGGTATGCCAGCAAATATCACAACACAGGATATAAAACACTAATAGGATAGAGTTCTGTAGAGTCCGTGTGTGTGCGTGTGGGTTTATTTGAATGCGCGTATGTTCGCATGTGTGTTCCACTGTGAAATCCTAAGCACCTTCTCTACAAAGGCATTAAAGAAAATGAATAACATCGGTTTGTACAACAAAGAACTTAACGTCGACAACATGCACTGATGCAAACTCAAAAACTTTACGAGGGAAAGTTCAAACCTCCAGCACTCAAAAAAAGGGCATATACAGCGTGTACTTACTCACTGCGTCGACTTATGAGCTTCAGCAAGAGTGTGGCAGCAAAGGCCTTTGACAGTGAGGCTATGCCAAACTGTGTCTGGTTCGTCACTGGGACGTTGTTCTCCTTGTCGGCCTGCCCGAAACCCTCTGCAAACACAACCTTTCCGTCTTTGACAACCGACACTGCAAGTCCAGGGTTGGTGTCTTTGTGGCACCTCCAAGTAGCTGCTATATCAGACTTCAAAGCTTCTAGATCCACAGTAGCAAAAGCACCACGAAGGACAACACAACATAGACAAGCGAGCACAAAGTGGGAACCCCGTCTCATCCTCGCCATCGTGAAGAAGCAACTGGCCAGATGGATTTCGGCTATTTATAATCCACAGTTTAGAGAATATATTACCCGCAGTTCACAGGCAGTGATATGTGTAGGAGGGTTTGGGGAGCGAAGAGGGTAGACTCAAGGCTGACAGGTTGTAAACAGGTTTGTGTTTGTGTAGCTGAGCATACCTTACTCCACTGGCATCATATGCATGTTAAATAGAAACGTACATCAAATCAGCATCATAAATAACTGACTGTAATTGCGTCCAGCTTTCGTAGCCTGCATTTGATTTACATGAAGCAAACTAGAGCTGATAGTATTAAAAGCAATGTTACAGTCCTTCAAGACATTTTCAATCATAAACAAGCTGTTTAGTCTTGTTCGAGGGTACAACAAGTAGGTGTCAGTAATTATGCAGACAGCTGTCACAGTTGTTATGCTGAAATATGGCACCCTTATAACATCATCAGGATTTCACTATAACGCGTTAGGTTAGGTCCTTGTGTCATATTGTCCGCTTTCTTTCTGAATTTCGCTTATTAATAAGTAAAATTTCGGATTAGAATTCCTTGGGACAATGAAACACGAACAGTGCATGACTTATCCCACCAATAGCCTCGGGTTGTTCAAACCGTGTCTCGATTTATGTATTATTTATAACTTTTTAATTTCCAAACTTTCGTTTTGGTTAAACTGAAATAGAACCTCTGAAAATTTTATTTTTTTCGATAAAGCTGACTCGATTTCATTGTTTATAACCTGAGAAACTTGGCGTTCAGTCACTGCAAATAACGAAAGGCGAAAGATGCGAGTGCCCCATGCTCGCATTATTAAAATTACACATTATGAGTGATAATCGTTCGGATAGATTACGAGAGCTTCCACTAGAGCCGATCTCGTGCATATTGGGGTCAGGTTCACTGGGCGTGCTCATGCCAGAAAGAGTGACGTATATCTTATAAAAAGGCTTCTAGTAAACAATGCATCATTGTCTGTTAGATTGCCATTGTAAATGCTGGTTGAATAAATGAGAAACAGACTACTCTATGGATAACAACTAGTGTATTGCATTCGATGCAGATTCTTACACCGTTATCAAGGTGGAGTGACTACAATCAAGTAATGAGAGGTATATATACGTGATATTTTGCGATAAGCAGCAGATTAAACAGGTTATAAATAACAAGAAGCACATAGAAAATTGAATGAAACCAGATGTAGAGTAAGAAAAATGAATAGCTCAGAGGTAACGAAGCCAGATGTACAGTAAGGATTAAACAGTTGTAACGAGCTGATTGGATGCTAATTAATAACAATCTATTGATTGATTAGGTGTCTCTAAGCAGACGGAATGAAAATACCCTTGATCTCTGTTGATCAAAGGTTTGTGACGGCGGAAATTATATGACTTCTGTGAGTGTTCTTTTTGTGTAGTCGTAATGTTTGGTAGAGAGGATTAGGACTTTGTCAAACTGAGAAGGTCTGCTGCAGCTGGTGGTCTGAGACAGATAATTTGCTATGTGTAGTGGCTGTCATATTGACATTACTAAGAGAATAACCAGCTGCGGGCAATCATGAATGGTCTGTCCCGACTGAATGGTGTAAGCTCCCAAGACTATATGCTTGTCCCTGTCATTCAAGACCATAAGAGTGAGTGAGTATGGTTTTACGCCGCTTCTAGCAATATTCCAGCTGATTCCAGCAATTTCACGGTGGGGGGCACTAGAAATAGGTTTCACACATTGTACCCCTGTGGGGAATCAAACAAGGGTCTTGACCGAGCGAATGCTATAACCACTAGACTTAACCCCCCACCCCCGAACGACCCCCCCCCAAACTCCTCCCAAGGACAAAGGACGAGAATCGCACACATGTCAACTTCAGTGAGAAACTTCACTGAAGTCAAGTCTATTCTTTAAATGACGTGATGTTGTCATTTATTTACGTCGTGAACATTTGATGACGTCACATCGTATGGTTCTCAACAATGAGGCACCACTCCAGAAACTCCCCAATGCGGGCGAGTACTGTTGAAGGGAGATATAACTGTAATTCAATAACCTAGATACTTGTTAATCCGGACGATTTCACGGGAACCGGTATCGTCTGAATTAACAGGGGTTATCTGTATTCGACTTGAATTTTAATTAAGTATTTGGAAGCATTTAACCTCATAACAGTAATCTGATTTATGTCCCCCAAAGTACTCATCTTCTTCATTGTGCAGTAACCCAAAGCTCCACCCAAACAGAGAAATGACTACGTTACTTTTAATTTTTTTTAAAAATGCACTCCCTTCTCAAATGCCAATTACGCGGTACAAGAAATTGATTCATTTCAAACTGACACGTCCCAAACAACGAGTGATGGTATTTTACAGCAGCTGCTTGCTCCACTAGCTAGGCAGTTCAAGACGATGTCTGCCACAGCTGGGGTGTTAGACGTTGTATCCGTACAAGCAATGTGATGTCGGTACAGAGCGAGGTTGTGTTGTATGTGTCATCATGGCTCTGTGTACTGATGAAGGCACTGGTCAAAGCAACAGGGACTCGGTGCCTGGTTTACCATAAATAGATTTGCGAAATATTTCTCAACGGCGAAAAGAGCGTTCGTCTGCCAAGTAGTATCGAGCCCTACTACTCTGATATAGATAAGGTAACCCATTTGCTACACTTTTAAAAATCCTGTGTTGTGTCTAAAGATAAAACGTGACCGTTGGAGCATTTGTTCTTATGTACATTTATGAACACAAACAATTTGCTCCTAAAATAAGTGCCTTTAGTGCACATAATTGTTTATTTGAACACGTGTAACTAACTCGAGAAATAACTTCGGCTTCATATAAACAAATTGTTGGGATATGTTTCTGAAATGTGAGTAGGGAGGTAGGATTTTTATTTTTGTCCCACCAACAAACACAACTAGACACGGGTCTTTTAAAAGGATATATATTTAGCGACTGGACTTTTTTCCCTGGGTTTTTTTTTCTAACATTGAAGAGTTAATTGTTTCAAAAAGTAGCGAGGGGGTACGACGAAACGGAATCACCGTGTCACCTAACCTGACCAATCGTTGTGTGAAGTCACCTATTCTAGAATCCCCATCGGGAGTTGGTGTTTTTAGATATTTGTAATATCTGTACAGGAATCGTATCTGTTCTGAACAGAGTGTTGGACCACTTCATTTTGGCCAACACAGTGAAAGCGCATGATTATCATTGACGAGCTGTTCTCCATGAGGTGTTCTTTGTAAATGTATGAAACGCCTGTAAAATATTTATGAACGATTTTCACAGGTGATTTGACTCGTATTCGTCTTTGGCCAAGATATGGCCAAGTAATGTTTGTTGTTTAACGCCGCACTCAGCAATATTCCAGCTATATAACCGCGGTCTGTAAATAATCGAGTCTGGACCAGACAATCATGTCTGACTGACATCATGAGCATCCACCTACGCAATTGGCATACGATGACATGCATCAACCAAAGACAAGCGATCCTGACGTTTGAATATTTGCTACTACCACCAAGATCTGCACCCGATCCCGTTAGTCGCCTCCTTCGCCAAGCATAGTCGCCTTTTACGACAAGCATATGGGTTGCTGAGGACCATATTCTACCCCGGATCTTCTTGGGTACAGTATTGCAATCATATCACGGCCTGTCAAGCTTGATGTGGAAGACGTTCAGATGTAAGACCACTTTGGTGAGATCCACATGTATGGTGATCACTAACACAGAAACCTAATCACGGTGACTCTGGGATTCGCACCCATCACAAAGGTTTCGTATAAGGGACGCAACACGTCACATTGAATTCAGGCACGTTAGACGACTGGGCCAACCATCCCCCTGTTGTTACAGGAAAGGGATTTGTTTTAACCTGGGTCAATTTTCACAAGTACATTTATCGAACATCTTTATTGATTGGTTGGTGATTGGTGGTGCATGAAATTACAGCGGCCGATCTGTCGAACAAGACCCTGATCGTTGAGGGGACCGCGTGAAACTGATTTATGTCAGTCAGCAATGTGACAGTACCAACTGAACCTCTTTAGTCCTGGCAGGTGTCCGGATTAGAGAATTATGGGTACGCTGTCAAGTCCTTAAAATTATATTTCACGTTCTTAATTTTAACGTCCGGAAATTCAGAGTTACGGGCCAACAACATGTCATTGTTTGTGGACAGGGGCTCGTCCATCAACGTTGATGTCAGTTCAGATTTTACCGGTGGCAGCTAGTCCGCGTTCAGTGTCGACTATCAACCCTTATCTCAATCGCCATTTCGAAACAATCATTGGACACTCGAACATTATCTGCTTTAAACTCCTTCAACTTTCTCCAATTTCCAATGTGTTTGAGAGTTTCACGTCGTTTTAATCGGCTGTGAAATGTCTGGAATTTGGATGATACGCCAAAGTGGTAAATTTCGCCACTTTTCCAATTCAAACGAACAAGCTCCTGGCATTCCCGAACTCATACCAGTTGATCTTCCATTAAAAGGGACACAACTCTGATCGGTGAGGCGTAATGACACCGTTGAACCAGGCATACTTCAATAGGTGAGGTGAGGTGAAATTGGGTTTAACTTCGCGAAGTGCAAGATTATTGCACTTATATATCGACGTGCATGCACGTGCGTGTGTGTGGCTGCTTGTACTAGTCCGGACTGATGCCGATTTATAGTGCTAGCTCACTGAGATACCATGCCGCAGTTTAACATGAATATCCCACTCAGACACAGTATACTGACTCCGAGCCGACCAGTCCTTGTTTTAGCCTTAATGCCAAGCGCCAGACAGGGTAACAACAAGGACCATCTTTTAACGTCTTTTGGAAAGACGCGGCCGGGGATCGAACCCCGGACCTTCCTCTCTCTGGGCGGACGCTCTACCACTAGACCACGGAGGCGGTCCATATTTTCATAACACTACAGTTTATTGCCAGAGTAAGCCAAGATCTTACGTCACATCAGTAATCTTTCAACAATATAGCGATCTGTCTATCAAGCGAGTCGAATTCAGAAAACTCGTTACAGTTCATTTTGGCATATATCTCGGGTTTGACTGCCGTTAATAAACCAGCTGTATTTCAAGTTAACCGCACGTGAAATCCGTACGTGCATTTAGAGTCATAAATAGATAAACCTTGAGTTAAAAATAGAAAAGCCCTCCAGTGCACCACGAGGCCATGGCAAAGGTCATCAACGTTGGATATAAATATTTGGTTGATAACGCGTCTAGAAGAGATTGCCGGGAGCCATGTTCTACTTGTCTGTCTTATTGTATGGTCTCGCAGCTGGTGCTACAAACCAGGGCATCCTCAGTTTATTTCAACAGAAATTCACAGGAGATGTAAGTTGTGATCATGTTCTTGTTGACCCGAGAAGAACCGGGTTAGAATATGTCTTCAGCAAGCCGTAAGAGCCGAATATTTTTGTCGTAAGAAGCGACTTGCGGGATCGGGTGGTCAGGATCACTGACTTGTTTGATGCATGTCATCGTGACAAATTGCGTGGATAGATGTTCACGATATCAATCACTGGATTGTCTGGTCCAGACTCATTTATTTACATACCGCTGCCATATAGATGTAATATTGCTGGGTGCGGTGTTAAACAACAAACAAACAAACAAATATGTTTCTTGTTAATGTACTGCTATTTTCGTCATGTATCTTATCATTTTCCACCGTGTCAGTGTCACACGTGTGGCCGACACTGTCAATGACCATCCTCAATACTGTGTTGTCGTGGCTGAACAGAATAGATCACTAGAATCATAAACTTGTTCGTTTAACTTATTTGAGGGGCCCCTCAAAACCCGAATTAAAGAACATCAAAGCTCAGTTTCCAAAGGTGACTCCAAGTCAGTTCTATCAGACCACATCCATGACAACCCCAGCCACAGCATCCAGTGGGACAAAGTCAAAGCCCTCACCAACCTCAAAGACTTCAAAATCAGGAAACTCCAAGAAGCTATCAACATAAAAAGACACCAACCATCAATCAACCGTCATCAAGGCTGTTTCACCCCCACCCCCATCCCCCTGCGTACCATCAACTCATCAAAGACCCCAATCAGTCATGATCCCTTTGTATATGCTACTGGGTTCATCTGTCAAGATGTTTACCTTATATCCCCCGTCTTGTGTACATAACAGGCTTCTCCGCTCTATTGTAACAACATCCCTATCTGCTCAACTGTACACTGCCTCATACCTGTATATATATGCTCGTCAACCATATTGTGTACATCACTTGCTTGATAACGGTGTTACACCGACACGTCGCCCTTATTTGTAATGAAGAAGTTGTTCATCCATATATCTTATCCTTACTTCGTTGGTACAGTACAGGTGGACAAACGCAGCCATTTATTGTGTCCCCTACTTGTTAAAGACACGTGATCCTGGATTCCGTGTTTTCTTCTATTTAAAACTCCTCTCAAAGTGGGTTATAGATGTCTACTGATATGTCTTTGTGTCACTACTCGATCTGCATCGGGTCATCAGGAGTACAAGATAAACAATACAACTATGTTGCTAAATAATTTATTTTAAAAAAACATCTTGCAAAAATATATTTTTGTGACAGTCAATATCTCCTTCTTTTCCAACAGAGTGAAGCATAACTACATGTTTCAAGCATTTTCTGGGATTTATTTCTTCTTCGATCAAATGAAAAGTGTTTGAAATATTTAACCGTATCTTTGACTATTTGACTTTTAATCTGTCATTTTCAGTTTCATGTCTTTTTAAAGGGGATAGGTTAACATATGATGTTCAGGTGCCTTAAATTTATAACTCACTGTAACGACATATGTTAATCTATGAAAATACTTGAAAAAAACATTGATTTTCACTATCTTAAAATAGTTAGATGCTGTGTCTACAGACTAGCAGACATGCTTAAATTCACCAGTCGTAATGTTACTGAAATTCTGAACTACTACCCACGCCAAACTAAGGCACTGAGCTTAACCATGTGGGGAATCGGACGTTGGGTTTCCGAACTGCCGTGTCTCATACTACCCACCACAACCAGGCGTATTTTGCCACGGTATAGCGGGAATATATGATGACTGGGTTTTATCGAAAAAATAAATTCTGGAAACAATATTGCCTGACACAAAATTTACATTGTTGCAAGTTGTTGTTTTAAAAAAAAGTCAGGCTAATAGTTTTAAGTACAAGATAAATGGTTTGTAGCTGTGGCTGAACAAATACCTGATCTCGATACAAACTCCCAGACCCCCAACTACCAGAATAACAAATGGTCGTGCCCCAACAGAAATGATATACAGTAAACTACGTTTATAACGAACACGCTTATAACGAACTGACCTATATAACGAACATATTTTTTATTCCCGGCAATTTGTTGTTATTGTGATGTAGATATGCTTATAACGAACTACGGTTATTACGAACTACAATTAGTGGTCCCTTTGACTTCGTTATAACCGTAGTTTACTGTATTTAAAACTGATCTTAAGGATTATGTTGTTATTGAGGGCACATACTACGGACACACCGACACAGGCATGTGCCAGTACAACCCACCAAGCCTGCCACCAGCAGCCCTCAACCCCAAAATAAAGTATACAGTAGCTCTCAACAAACCACAGTTCCAGGACTCTTTCGGATGCGGAATGTGTTTCAAGGTAGACGTACATGTGTCACATGGAATGTTATGTAATTTGATTACATGTTAAGCATGCCTCATTTCAGAGGTTATGATGTTAAATTTCGTGATAACACTGATGTTTACAATGTTCTGTATCAACGGCTAAATACATTTTACTATGTACAGACGCCACTCATATAATCGTCCGTAAGACTGTATCGAGGTTTTGTTGAAATTTCCCCTTTCAATGCTGCTTCCATGATGATAACGCAGAATGGATGTTAGGCACCATCACGCTTGAATCAGTGTTCTCAGTCCATATGATAACTATAATGTGTGTGATGTTCTCCTTGTAAACGAAGTCTACTATGTATAAAGCTATAAGTGAGGGATGTTTTATAACTGTTGACATGATTTCCCAATGCAGGTTCATGGGTCGGGGAAAGGCTCTGGAAACAGTCCCATCACAGGGGATTTCTTCGTCTTTGCAAACAACCTGTGTCCAGAGTGTCATGCTGGTCAGTAAATGTTTGTTTGTTGTTTAACTCCACACTCAGCAATATTCCAGCTTTATGACGGCGGTCTGTAAATAATCGAGTCTGGACCAGACAATCCAGTGACTGACCTCATGAGCATCGATCCACGTAATTGGGATCGATGACATGCATCAACCAAGTCAGCGAATCTGACCACCCGATCCCGTTAGTCGCCTCTTACGAAAGCATAGTCGCCTTTTACGGCAAGCATGGGTTTCTGAAGAGACCTATTCTACCCCGGATGTTCACGGGTCGGTGAGTAAATGAGGTTGATTTAACAGTATTCCAGTTATATCACGGCGTGTAAGAGTGTTGTGGTGAGCGATGCAGGTCTTAGGTGTTAACCACTTTGGTGAAACCCACGAGGAAGTGTATGGTGCTGACAGTCCTTGAAACATATTCATGTTCAAACGTATTGAGGATTCGAACCCATGATCAAAGGTTTCTGCACGCCTGAAGGCCTAGACGACTGGCTACCCTACCCCTACTGATGATAAGAAATTGTAATGGAAATAAATAGTAAATAAATATATAACTATCAGGCCCAAGGGACGCAACTCTGCACAGCGAATCGCGGGGCCTTAGACGACTGGGCCACCCATGCCCCCAGTGGGTATAAGAATCAGCACTGGATAGTTCATGGGTAAGAAAGACATTATTGTCGAAGAGTCCGGAGTGAGAGTGTCCATGTATTGATTTTGTTAGCCACATGTATATAATTACTTTTGTTTGTCCCAAGAAGCAACTGTCTGTATTTATGTGCAAACCAGCTTGATCACACACCAATGCCACACCCTGGGAAGACTAAGTCCCAAAGACCACGCATCCAGTGGAACCGATTTAAAATGAGAATCGGGTACAAAGTATGACATCAGTGTTTGTGTGCCATCGTACCCAAATCTGTGGATCGTTGCTCATACATTACAAAACTGGTTTGCCTTATCGGTACAAGATAGTTTCCTTACAGGTCTCTGGGATATAGTTGTTGATTTCGTACTTAAACAGTATTATGATCCATGGTATATACATGCTTCCAGGATCTCTGGACTTTGCCGTGTCTGGAGACGGACGCTCGAACATAGAGATCCAAGCTGTGCAGTGTCCAGTTGGAAATACTAATATTGAATACAAGTTCCAGGGTACAAACCCGTACTACATCAAACTGCAAGTCAGAAACGCCAGGTAAGTGCCCTGAGGTTTATGTCTGTAGAAAATACACTCTAAGATAACAATACATAACTTGTAATGGGCAAATTAAAAAACAGTCATGAGAAGTTTTGGTGATATTTTAGAGCCCCCGAATTATTGACATAAGGCTAGGGCGTGAAATAGGAAACGACACATTGGCTTGACATATACATACAAATAGTGACATTGGTACATTAACATAAACATATACACAGAGACCCGTGAAGATCCGGGCTAGAATAGGTCTTCATCAACCAATGCTTGCCGTATAAGGCGACTAACGGGATCGGGTGGTCATTACAAAACTGGTTTGCCTTATCGGTACAAGATAGTTTCCTTACAGGTCTCTGGGATATAGTTGTTGATTTCGTACTTAAACAGTATTAACTCGGTCAACGTCTCAAAACCGCGCATAACCAATGTACTTTCATAGCGCTTTGCGCGTGTATGTATATGAATGCTAGACACATTACATGCGACTGTTTTAGAGGCGACCGCCTCCGTGGTCTAGTGGTAGAGCGTCCGCCCTGATTGTGGAAGGCCCCTAGGTTCTATCCCCTGCCGCGTCATACCAAAATACGTTGAAGGATGGTACTTGTTGTTACTCTGCCTGGCGCTCGGCATTAAGGGGCTAAAACAAGGACTGGTCGGCTCGGAGTTAGTATACAATGTCTGAGGGCGGTGTCCATGTTAAACTGCGGCATGGAATCTCAGTGGGCCAGCACTATAAACTCGGCATTATTCCGGAGTAGTACAAGCAGCTACAAACACGTGCATGCACGTCGCTATATTTGTGCAATAATCTTCAACCCGACATTGAACTTATTTCACCTTACAGTAAGAAGCGACAAAATGGATCGGGTGGTCAGACTCAGTGGCTTCCTTGATTCATGTCCTCGTATCCCAATTAGGTGGATCGATGCTCATGATATCAATCACTTGATTGTCTGGTCCAGACTCAATTATTTACAGACCGCCATCTTATAGCTGGAATATTGCTGAGTGCGGCGTTAAACAAATAAAACAATCAATCAATCAAACCAAAAAACATTAGATACGAGAGTGAATTCTAATTATCCATTGATGTTTAAACCGATAAGATCCATGGTATATACATGCTTCCAGGATCTCTGGACTTTGCCGTGTCTGGAGACGGACGCTGGAACATAGAGATCCAAGCTGTGCAGTGTCCAGTTGGAAATACTAATATTGAATACAAGTTCCAGGGTACAAACCCGTACTACATCAAACTGCAAGTCAGAAACGCCAGGTAAGTGCCCTGAGGTTTATGTCTGTAGAAAATACACTCTAAGATAACAATACATAACTTGTAATGGGCAAATTAAAAAACAGTCATGAGAAGTTTTGGTGATATTTTAGAGCCCCCGAATTATTGACATAAGGCTAGGGCGTGAAATAGGAAACGACACATTGGCTTGACATATACATACAAATAGTGACATTGGTACATTAACATAAACATATACACAGAGACCCGTGAAGATCCGGGCTAGAATAGGTCTTCATCAACCAATGCTTGCCGTATAAGGCGACTAACGGGATCGGGTGGTCAGGCTCGGTGACTTGGTTGATGCATGTCTTGTATCCCAATTGCATGGATCGATGCTGATGATGTTAATGACTGGATTGTCTGGTAAAGACTCGATTATTTACAGACTGCCGTCATATAGCTGGAATAGTGCGGCGTTAAACAAGAGTGAGTGAGTGAGTGAGTTGGGTTTAACGCCGCTTTTAACATTATTCCAATTATATCACGGCGTGTCAGCTTAATGTGGGAGGAAAGCCCGAAGTGATGCAGGTCTCAGAAGTTCACCACTTCGGTGAAACCCACGATCACGGGTATGGTGCTGACAAACCTAAAAACATAATCGGGGCTAACCGGGATACGAACCCACAATCATAGGTTTCTGGCGACCCCAAGGGGCGCAACTCTGCACAGCGAATCGCGGCCCCCCGTTAAACAAGAAACAAACAAACAAAAGATACACTGACATGAACATTGATGCATTAACATATATACATTGATATGGAGACACGGATATAGGTACAAGGACATAAATATAGAAATTGTGGCATATAGACACGGGCATACACGAAGAATGATCACGTTGCATTTTGCAGCTGTCAAACTAACAGAGTAGTCTGATCATTTGAAATTTTATTTCGAATGGTTTTTGTTTTTGTGCTTGTCATTTATCTTTCGCCTATGGCACTTACTTGTCTGAGGCTGCTCTTTATAGCCATAAGATTAAACTGTATCTGTTAGAATACCGGTCACGGAAGCTGAAATGATGCAGGGCGGAAATTACGTCAGCATGAAGCACACTGCCGATGGATTCTGGGAACTTTCGAACGGACATCAAGTGGACCAAACTGGTGGTGTTGGTGTGAAGCTGACAGCAGCCAATGGAGACACAGTCACTGACATCATTCCCAACTTGAGTGAGTTCTCCTGAACCTTCATTATCCCGAACCTACTAGTATCAATTCGTGTTAACCTGGAGAGCTTAATACATTCGGGAAACAAATTTCATATATAAAGTCTCAGTATTCACCTGGTCCATGTTTATGTCATAGGGAATATCGCGCACTTCCTATTCTGTCTTTGAAAATCCTTGCACTCAACAATGATGATGTCTTTTTTTTCAGATAATAATGTGGTTTTACATGGCAAAAACCAGGTGCAGTTTAAGCTTGATCCCAGCCTACCCACAGCATAGAGATGCATGTGGCATATGTGTTGTGTCTTTACAAGCATTACCATTCTCCATGCAATAAAATATTGTACGTACCGAGTTCTTCTTACTGATCTGTTTATAACATTATGCTGGGTCCTGGTGAGTGAATAAGAGGAAAATCATGGTGGCGCAAGTCACTTTCATAAAATCCACATAAATGGTGGTGACAGACGAAGAATAAAACTTTTGAACCCATGAATTTGGAACGTTGAACATATGAGTGATACAAGACTTCTCTGCCTCGGGGCCGGTAAAGCGCTCAGATCTAAGACATATATATATTCTGAACCACAAAAGAAACGTCACCCCAAGTAATATTGCATAAAAAGTTGTAATTTAAATATCTGGGTAATTGTTGTCAAAGTTTCTAAAATTTAACTTTACCTTTTCAGGAAAAATGAAATTTGATGATAAAAAAACAAAGCAGATGACAATAAAACCGACCGCCCAAACGCATCACGGCAACGGCCATGGTAATCCGATGCACGTGAGTTCCGTGCAAATTGAAATGCACATGCGTTCCCCCATTTCTTGCCCTATAAAAAAGTCCACCTAGATCGGATAACATTCATTCGTTTGTTTGTTAACGCCGCACTCAGCAATATTCCAGCTATATGACGGCGGTCTGTAAATAATCGAGTCTGAACCAGACAATCCAGTGATTAACATTCGTTATTGAATTTCTACCACATGCCAAGATTGACAAGAAATCAGCGACACCAAGTCCTTGGACGATTGCAAGCTGGACAAAACCGCCCGGCAAGTAGCCAATGCATTTCAAGTCCACGTAAGGACCATATACAGGCTCCAGCAACGGGACCAGACCACCAACGCTACAGATGACTGACCACGTAGTGGAAGACAAAGGGTCACCACCCGACGTCAGGATCGTCAGATTGTGTGACAGCATCTTCAAGATCGCTTTATTACTGCTGCGGAAACTGCTCGACAGACCATGGGGACACACCCGCGACATATTAGTGCAGACACCGTGCGTCGACGATTGACGAGCAGACACCTCCACTGTCACAGACTCTTGGGGTGGTCCGAGCATCATGGGTGGGGTCGAATTGGTCTTGCACAGAGGGTCGGCCCCATGGTCTTCCAGAACATCGGTCCAGGGAGAGGCAATGGTGTAAGGGCAGCTCGGTACATTGGTCAAGTCTTGAGACCACACGCCATACCTCATTTTGCACGTCGCCGCAACCACGAGTTTCAGCATGATAACGCCCGTGCCCACACTGCAAGAGCAACCAGATACTTCCTCCAAGCAGAATGGCATCAGAACCATGCAGTGGCCTGCCCTCAGTCCCGATTTAAATCCCATTGAGCACGTGTGAGACGAGATTCAAAGGCGGCTGAATGACGTCCGACCAAGGCCGACAACTGCAGCTGAACTGCGTCAGGCGTTCCTCAGATTGTGGGCTCAAGTGCCTGCGGCCTTCATCAACCGCCTCATCCATTCCATGTATCGACGCTGCACGGCAGTCATAAATGCACATGGCGGACACACGAGATACTGACTGGTGATGCCATTTTCTCAGAGACTAGTGTTGTGTTTCACTTTAAAAACATTTGACACTTTAATTTTAACCTTGATAATCAGTTTTGCCAAGTTTCATCTTTTTAATATGTCTCAAAGTATGTTTACAGTGTTTGGACAAATAAGGTTTCTCATATATCTATCCATGGATCATTATATATACTAAGTAAAGTTCTATTGTTTCTTTGACGCTGGCGTACATAACACCAGACTGCTATTGTATTACAGGAGACTGCGCAAAGAAAACATTTGAAACTTCAATCGTATAAGCATGTTATGAAAATAATAAAGATCAGTAATTACAACTGCATACGTCACGATAGACAATCTCACTGTCATTCACCCTGGAGTAATGAGGCAAAACAATGTGGGCTACACATACTAAGTTAAGGGCAATTCTTCAAATACTGTAAAACATTGCAAATATTCAAATTGAACAGTTGACATTTGTTGCGCAGATGAAGTGAATGTCTATAGGTCTGATTATAAGCGGAAAAAAAAAAATGATCCAAAGCCATGTCCATTGTTCGATTTCGACACTATCATAAGCATATCATATATACATATAACATTTCCGTATACAGTTTTAATCAAATGGTCTTGGAAACAAATTAATAAACGTCCAATTGATATCCGTTTTTTTAAATTACGTACGTCACCGTCTATAAGAGGAACGTGCGCGTAACTCAGATGTAATCATACTTGGCGCATCATCGAAAGAACATCTGTGTGACTTCGAGTTAGTCATGTTTGTCGCTACATCACAAGAACATCTGTGTGACTTCGAGTTAGTCATGTTTGTCGCTACATCACAAGAACATCACAGTGACTTCGAGTAAGTCATTTTTGTCTCAACATCACAGGAACACCACAGTGACTTCGTGTTAGTCATGTTTGTCGCTACATTACAGGAACACCACAGTGGCTTCGAGTTAGCCATGTTTGTCGCTACATCACAGGAACATCACAGTGACTTCGAGTTATCCATGTGTGTCGCTTCATCACTAGGCATCACAGTGACTTCGAGTAAGTCATTTTTGTCTCAACATCACAGGAACACCACAGTGACTTCGTGTTAGTCATGTTTGCCGCTACATTACAGGAACACCACAGTGACTTCGAGTTAGCCATGTTTGTCGCTACATCACAGGAACACCACAGTGACTTCGAGTTAGTCATGTTTGTCGCTACATTACAAGAACATCACAGTGACTTCGAGTTATTCATGTTTGTAGCTTCATCACGAGAACATCACAGTGACTTCATGTTAGTCATGTTTGTCGCTGCATCACAGGAAAACTACAGTGACTTCAAGTTAGCCATGTTTGTCACTACATCACAGGAAAACTACAGTGACTTCGAGTTAGCCATGTTTGTCACTACATCACAGGAAAACTACAGTGACTTCGAGTTAGTCATGTTTGTCACTACATCACAGGAAAACTACAGTGACTTCGAGTTAGTCATGTTTGTAGCTTCATCACTTGAACATCACAGTGACTTCGAGTTAGTCATGTTTGTCACTACATCACAGGAACACCACAGTGACTTCGAGTTAGCCATGTTTGTCACTACATCACAGGAAAACTACAGTGACTTCGAGTTAGTCATGTTTGTAGCTTCATCACTTGAACATCACAGTGACTTCGAGTTAGTCATGTTTGTCACTACATCACAGGAACACCACAGTGACTTCGAGTTATTCATGTTTGTCACCACATAACAGGAACACCACAGTGACTTCGAGTTATTCATGTTTGTAGCTTCATCACTTGAACATCACAGTGACTTCGAGTTAGTCATGTTTGTCACCACATAACAGGAACACCACAGTGACTTCGAGTTATTCATGTTTGTAGCTTCATCACTTGAACATCACAGTGACTTCGAGTTAGTCACGTTTGTCGCTAATTATATATATTAAATTTTGTATTCAATTCAACAACGTTATATCATTTTATCCAAAACCAGACCTAATATATATTTCTGTAAATCGCTTGCTGTGTTTATTACCGTCTCGATTGTGGCAGATAATACCATGTTCTAATAAGGTTCAAAATATGAATTAACCGATTTTGTAATGGCAGAACAAGAACAATGCTTATTTCTGAGGCATTAAAGTGTTTAACTTGAACTGGGCTTCACTGACAAAAACAATAAACATTAAAGAACGGAAAACCATTATGTTGGTGAAAATAATGACACTGGCGTTTAAACTGTTCTACTTTCAGCTTAGCCATACGGTCGTCGCGGTTGACTTCTCTTCAAACGTTCACGTACTTCCCTTGATGATATAGTTAGAGCTTGAATGAAAAAAAACATGTTTTTCCAACCCACGAGTCTCTACTGCAAACTGAAAATATGAACGCTGTCTAGGTTTAAGGTCTGAAAAAAGAAACGCGCCGCCCTTCTTTACATTTTGAGACAAGAGGTACGTGAAAATAAACATTCTTCAAAGTAGCCAACTTGGCCCTCGAAATTTGATTTGTGTCCACTGATAATCCCCCCATTTCCTCCCTGTGTGATGTTCCGTCGCGGAAAAAACATTCAGCATTTAGCTCCCATGTCTGAATCACATTGTAAACATGGCTAATGCAGGGAGATTATATAAGTCCCTGGTTGTTCTATCAGCATCGCAAAATTGAAAATCTCCATATCGCTAAGAGTAGTTTTGGATCTAAAGGGCTATTCATCATGGATATTATTATAGCTGCAGTCATAATGTGTTGTTTGGGAAGTGTTCAGGCCTACAACAAAGCCGTTCTCAGTCTGTATGTTCAGAGATTCAGTGGGGAGGTAAGTGGTTAAAAAAATAAACCATGCTTAACAAGTCAATGCATTCGCTCGGACATTAGTGTTCAGTTTTGTTGGTGTAAATATTTAATTCAATGTGTTGATATATTTGGAAGAACGATATCTTTACGTGTCGCGTCACTGTATGTTGTAGGGGACCTACGTCGGAAGAGGACAAACCGGGGCGTGTCAGATGGGGCCGGACTTCCCACCTGTTGCTACACATCCTCGGATCAAGAGCCTGGTGGCTATAAATGCGGAACAGTACTCGGGATCTATTGCCTGTGGCATGTGCTTCAGGGTAGGCTTTCTTTCTATGGACTAATCAAAGTCAGTAGTTATCATTCTGTAAAACAACACTTTAAATGTATCAGTGTCTTTAAAATAGTTCGTGGTGTTTGTTCTTGCAGGTGCGAGGTAAAGGGGTGGGTACAGGATCGGACCCTATACAAGGAGACTTCTACGTATTTGTCAACGACATTTGCCCAGAATGTAAAGAAGGTACGTAACCCGCAACATTGAAGGGCAGTGTTTTATTGTACGATAAACAACGACCATGAGTCGTTAATTTCTTATCTATCGACATTATGTACAGCATTTTTAGTGATATATACAACAAAGAAGAACAAAGCGTGGCTAGTTTTTTACGATGAAACATTGTTATAAGCGGGAAATACAACACTTATACACCCCTTCCCCGTTCATAAAATGGACTTGTCCGTCATTGCCGAGGTCGGATTGTATTCAGGGAGTCATCACCTTTTGATTACAGGTAATTGTTTTTAAAGCTTGAACATTTTATTAAAATCCTAAAGAGGTTGTACATAATGTTGAAATCACATATGAGACATACACAAATCATGGCCGTTGTCCATCACATATGCGCCCCTCATGGTTTATTCTCCCTGCAGTGTTTTATTGCACGATAAGCAACTCCCGCTCGTCGTTTATTTCTTAAATATAAGATAGCTGCGCAAGAACGAAGGGTGGTTTATTTCACGATAAAACATGTTCTATCATGACGTCATTTCTGCAGATTCGAACATTCGCTCGCAACTTGATGACGTCGTAAATTGGACCACGTTATTTTTGAGAGAGAAGTGTCTAGTGAGGTGTTCCCCATAGATGTAGCTGGGCAACGCAGATGAACGCAATGACCGAACGACCACATTCAAAAGCGGGAGAGATATATGAAATCGGTATTGGGGGGAAAGGTACAGGGAATCGGCGTGAGGATTGTGAGAATATGCGGGAAATACCCACCTGCACTGGTCCGACATTGCCGAGATCCGATAGTATTCAGGGAGTCCTCATTATTTACATACTGGTAGATATTTTGTGAAAACTTGTACATAACATGTATATATATAAGTAACATTCTTTAAAAGGCTTACAAAATGTTGATATCCCAAAATATACATAAACGACCCGTGATCGTTGTTTATCGTACAATAAAACTCTGCAGGGACAATAGGTTACGATAAACAACTCCTTCTCGTTGTGCCCTCCCTTTCATAACCGTGTTCGTGGGTTTGTGTACCCTTGTTAGTCTGTGTCTTTCTTTGTCTGTCGCCCTCTGTGTGTGTATCCCCATCTGTCGCCCTCTGTGTGTGTGTGTACCTTGTTGTCTGCGTCTCTATTTGTCTGCCTCTCCCTCTGCGTGTATCCCTATCTTTCTCGGCTTCCCTCTGTGTGTGTGTGTACCCTTGTTAGTCTGTGTCTTTCTTTGTCTGTTGCCCTCTGTGTGTGTGTATACCCTTGTAAATCTGGGTCTCCCTTTAACCGCCTCCTTCTGTGTGTGTCGCTATCTTTGTCTGTCGCCAACTGTGTGTGTACCCTTGTTGTCTGAGTCTCTTTTTGTCTTCGTCGCTCTCGCAGTGTGTACCCTTGTTGTCTGTGTCTCTTTTTGTCTGCGTCCCTCTCTCAGTGTGTACCTTTGTTAGTCTGTGTCTCTCTTTAACTGCCTCCTTCTGTGTGTACCCCTTTCTTTGTCTGCGTGGGTGTACCCTTGTTAGTCTGTATCTCTCTTTTTCTGCGTCCCTCTGTGTGTGTGTACCCTTGTTAGTCTGTGTCTCTCTTTTCTGTCGACCTGTGTGTGTACCCTTGTAAATGCGTGTCTCTCTTTCGCTGCCTCCCTCTGTGTGTGTCCTTATCTTTGTCTGCGTCCCTCTCTCAGTGTGTACCCTTGTTAGTCTGTGCCTCTCTTTCGCTGCCTCCTTCTGTGTGTTTCCTTTGTTTTGTCTGTCGCCCTGTGTGTATGTACCTTTGTTGTCTGTGTATATCTTTGTCTGCCTCCCTCTGTGTGTATCCCTTTCTTTCTCTGGCACCCTTTTTGTGTGTACCTTTGTTTGTCTGTGTCTTTTTTGTCTGATCCCCTTCCGGTGTGTGTACCCTTGTTAGTCTGTGTCTCTCTTCGTCTGCCTCCCTCTCTCTGTCTGTGTAACCTTGTTAGTTTGTGTCTCTCTTCGCCTGCCTCCCTCTCTCTGTCTGTGTACCCTTGTTAGTTGGTGTCTCTCTTCGTCTGCCTCCCTCTCTCTGTCTGTGTAACCTTGTTAGTTTGTGTCTCTCTTCGTCTGCCTCCCTCTCTCTGTCTGTGTAACCTTGTTAGTTTGTGTCTCTCTTCGTCTGCCTCCCTCTCTCTGTCTGTGTACCCTTGTTAGTTTGTGTCTCTCTTCGTCTGCCTCCCTCTCTCTGTCTGTGTACCCTTGTTGTCTGTGTCTCTCTTCGTCTGCCTCCCTCTCTCTGTCTGTGTACCCTTGTTGCCTGTGTCTCTCTTCGTCTGCCTCCCTCTCTCTGTCTGTGTAACCTTGTTAGTTTGTGTCTCTCTTCGTCTGCCTCCCTCTCTCTGTCTGTGTAACCTTGTTAGTTGGTGTCTCTCTTCGTCTGCCTCCCTCTCTCTGTCTGTGTAACCTTGTTAGTTTGTGTCTCTCTTCGTCTGCCTCCCTCTCTCTGTCTGTGTAACCTTGTTAGTTTGTGTCTCTCTTCGTTTGCTTCCCTCTCTCTGTCTGTGTAACCTTGTTGTCTGTGTCTCTCTTCGTCTGCCTCCCTCTCTCTGTCTGTGTAACCTTGTTAGTTTGTGTCTCTCTTCGTCTGCCTCCCTCTCTCTGTCTGTGTAACCTTGTTAGTTGGTGTCTCTCTTCGTCTGCCTCCCTCTCTCTGTCTGTGTAACCTTGTTAGTTTGTGTCTCTCTTCGTCTGCCTCCCTCTCTCTGTCTGTGTACCCTTGTTGTCTGTGTCGCTCTTCGTCTGCCCCCCTCTCTCTGTCTGTGTAACCTTGTTAGTTTGTGTCTCTCTTCGTCTGCCTCCCTCTCTCTGTCTGTGTAACCTTGTTAGTTTGTGTCTCTCTTCGTCTGCCTCCCTCTCTCTGTCTGTGTAACCTTGTTAGTTTGTGTCTCTCTTCGTCTGCCTCCCTCTCTCTGTCTGTGTAACCTTGTTGTCTGTGTCTCTCTTCGTCTGCCTCCCTCTCTGTCTGTGTTACCTTGTTAGTTTGTGTCTCTCTTCGTCTGCCTCCCTCTCTCTGTCTGTGTAACCTTGTTAGTTTGTGTCTCTCTTCGTTTGCTTCCCTCTCTCTGTCTGTGTAACCTTGTTGTCTGTGTCTCTCTTCGTCTGCCTCCCTCTCTCTGTCTGTGTAACCTTGTTAGTTGGTGTCTCTCTTCGTCTGCCTCCCTCTCTCTGTCTGTGTAACCTTGTTAGTTTGTGTCTCTCTTCGTCTGCCTCCCTCTCTCTGTCTGTGTAACCTTGTTAGTTTGTGTCTCTCTTCGTTTGCTTCCCTCTCTCTGTCTGTGTAACCTTGTTGTCTGTGTCTCTCTTCGTCTGCCTCCCTCTCTCTGTCTGTGTAACCTTGTTAGTTGGTGTCTCTCTTCGTCTGCCTCCCTCTCTCTGTCTGTGTAACCTTGTTAGTTTGTGTCTCTCTTCGTCTGCCTCCCTCTCTCTGTCTGTGTAACCTTGTTAGTTTGTGTCTCTCTTCGTCTGCCTCCCTCTCTCTGTCTGTGTACCCTTGTTAGTTTGTGTCTCTCTTCGTCTGCCTCCCTCTATGTGTCGGGGTGTTCCCTGTTAGCCTGTGGCTCTTCGTATCTGACCATATGTGTGTGTATCCATCTCTTTATCTGTGTCCTTCCGTGTGTGTCCCCCTATTACCCCCCCCCCACACACACACACACACACACACTCTCTCTCTCTCTCTCTCTCTCTCTCTCTCTCTCTCTCTCTCTCTCTCTCTCTCTCTCATTGTGGACAGATATTTCTCTGTACTACTTTCTTTCTCCCTCTGTTTCTTTGTCTCCCACGTCCTTCCTGCCTCAGTTTCTGTTCCCTTCTTCGACTCTATGGCCCTCTACCTGCCGCATTCTCCTGTTTGTCTCTTTTCCTGTATTCCTTTATCCCATCTTTCGCTCTGCCCATCTCCTTCGCTGTGACGCTTGGTTAGAACTCAGCTCACGAACTCTGCTTGAAACGTTGAAAAAGTGCGGATATTATTCGTCTGGATTAAATATGCCTGTACCTAGACCGTCTTGTACGTTTCCGATTAAACTATTCTCAGAACGTTTGAGAAATACTGGCGGTACCGTCACCAATGGCAATCAACTCATTTTGCAGATTCACACCCCTAGGCGCGCAAGAAGGATATGATTGTCGATTCGAATCCCAGATCTGAGTTTCTAGGTTTGTCAGCACCATACTAATGCATACGGTTTCACATAAGCGGCAGATGTGTTCGACTGTCGAGATTTCCTCCCATATTAAGCTGTCACGTTGTGATGTTACCGACAATCCAGCCCAAAACACACTCAACCAATACGCTGACCCATTACAGGTGACATTGACCTCGCGGAAGAAGGCGATGGAAGTTGGGAGGTGGAGATCCAGGCTGTGCAGTGTCCGGTCGGAAACACCAAAATAGAGTATAAGTTTCAAGGAAGTAACCCATGGTACATCAAGCTCCAGGTCAGGAATGCAAGGTCAGTAACACATCTGTCCAGTCGTATCGCCATGTCCTTTACCATAACCACTTGCTTGTATCATCTTCATGTGTATCACTTTCTAATATGACCACTCCACGAGAATAGCCTTGCTTGTAACACATGAGATATTACGGTAACCTACAGCCTTGCTTCTTAGAATTACCTATGCCGCAGTGTTCTATTTCTTTCTAAAATAAGAAATTGACATTGATGTTGCATTCAAGTAAACGGGTGAATGGTTTATGTTAAGCCCCATCCCTTTAGACGTGTAAGTATCCGCCGATTTTGTTTGGATTCGCACCGATAATGAGCGATTTATCAGTGTCATTTTACCACCAAACTCCAAGTTAGAATTGGTCCCAACAACAACTGATGCCTGTCTTGAGAGGTAACAAAATGGATCGGGTGGTCAATCACAGTGAATTGGTTGATTGAGTGTCATCGTATGGTGTGGGGCGTACTCAGAATATCAATCCCTAGATTGTCTGGTCCAGACTCGGTTATTTCCAGACCGCCGTCATATAGCTGGAATTGTGCAGAGTACGGCGTTAAAAAGCAAGCAAATAAATAGTACCTCACAAGTGCCTGTGGGTTTCGCCGATGTACACAACTGCCTAGAAGTTCATTCCCCTTAAACGCATGGACACCGCGTTACGCAACCCGTGTGCACCCCGTTCGTCACTCGTGTGCAACGCGTGACACACTCATTAGAGGGGGAACAATTTTTTGACCAAAGGAGGACCCATGTTAGGCTGAACTTGGTGGTGGTAACAAGGAGAGACATTTTTGATATCCTGACGAAAAATGCTAATACACATGTTATTGTTTGTATTTGCTGATGTCTCATTTTTAGATGTGTGATTTTGTAGGAAAATATGAGTACTGGTGTGGCTTCTACATGATGTTTTGCGATGGTGTCAAGAGAATACACGATCCTAGTAAATGTTATTGCCATTCAAATGGTGTTTTTTTCTGATTTGACATTTAATATCTGTAGTACGGCTTTCATTGATCATGTTTATGAGGTTTGGCGGGGCATTGTTTTTATTGGACCCTAATTACATTATGATGTTTGGGTCTCTTTGTCTCAACTCCATAGCCGTGACGCTGGAAAAGAGCAGCATTTAATTAATGAGAGTAGGTTATATCATGGAAGATACACTTGAACGAGAGGGTTCTACTAATTACCGTACCACAGGAAGAGACCTGTAGACGTGAGCGCGGGGTTGTGTATAAGATCGCCGTTGCATAATGAGCATTGAGCAAATGCACTTTTGTTTTCACGGGCTTGTTGAATAGTTTCCCAGCGCTACTGTCAATATATCTTCTACTTGATCCTTGATACATCACTTTGGCATTGACAATATATTATTTCCAACGTACATTATTAGTTTACTAGTCATTTGTTTTTGAGTATTTGTCAATTGTGTTTAGCTAACAAGCAATAATGGTAATATATGGTGACATGTAAATATCAAACGTCTCACGTAAAACGTAGTACATTGCGTAAGTACAATAGTTAATATAAATATTCAAATCGCATAAAAATACAATTATAACAAGATACATATGTTATTCTAAAAATTGTGCATAAGGTCACGGAGGCGAAAGCTATAGATATCATACCTTATTCGATTTTTTAGATGATAAAGTACATTATTTGATAAATTCTGTTATTGATATCTAAAAATCGATTTGCGATATCAATAAACAATTCATGGAATAATAAAATCATATTTGTGATATAAATTCATTCTTTGGTACCTATAAATGAATTATTGATATAAAATATGGAATAAATAGTAAAAAGGCGCCCTATATATTTTTCTTTGTGGATTATTCAGTAACGCGATTGCATCACGGTTACAGTGTTAATTGCTAGTCTTTTTTCTGCACCATCATTTCTTCCATCTTTTCAAAAACTGTTTACAAAATGGCAACTTATAATTAACCAATGAAATTATACTGACCCGACCTGCGTTTATTAATGTCTCTGTCATTATTATCGTTAACATGTGTCTAGTTTTTGTCTCTGTCATTATTATCGTTAACATGTGTCTAGTTTTAAGTGTATATACTTATGCTATACATCGTACTGTGTGTGTGTGTGTGTGTGTGTGTGTGTGTGTGTGTGTGTGTGTGTGTGTGTGTGTGTGTGTGTGTGTGTGTACGATATACAAGACTGTTAAGTCGACGTAAAAGCTATAATTGATGATGATAATATATGAATGTTATTGTAACAAGCGAAGCGTGTGGAGATAGACTTAAATACGTTGGACACAGTAACATGTTTCAACACCTTTTGAAACGGTAAAATAAGATACATTTAAACGTTAGTAGCATATAAACACCTGAATTGAAAGGTCTACAAAAAGATATATTTCTTATAATAGAAGGTCCACAAGGGTATTCAGAAAAAAAAACGTAACTCGTTACGACAAAAATAGTTCTCTTGCTATTCAATACTGGACATTTCCCCACACCCAACTTTTTGTTGTTGTTTTTTGTTAAACGAGAGGATGTTTGGTGGGGGACTTGACGTATCTTTTCAGAGGGTTTCACTCTGACATTACCCACTATTTATTGGAGGATACTGGAAATGAATATAGACTGTCATGTTGTCTGACTGTAGCTAGGATGTGATATCTTAACAATCACTGGGTGTGACCACGTGGACAGTTTAACATAAGGGTTGTGATTTTTTACAATTGCCCAAATGGTCCTGCTGAGTATTGGAGCTTGCCAAAGGTAACATTTTATTATTAAAGGAAATGGATAGTAAATACTTAATACCATGTATACAGGTTATATTCAGGATTTTTAGCCCTTTTCCTCCCCTGTGTGTAATTCTGATGGAAAAAAGTCACTCATGCATTCTATGTAAAAGAAGATCAGACTTGGTTAGAATCCGTGTTTATCTGTAACAACTTCCAACTGGTGACAGTTCAGTGATTTTGATATTCATATTATTATAACCTGTCAAGTTGTACATAAATTTGTGTTTAAAGCATAAATATTCAAAGGGACTGTTCCCTACACACGTCCATATCTTAATTAATAAACATTATTTATTGTATGGATTATATGAAGATTTTATCTAAGTATACGTTTGACATTTTGAGTGCATGAAAGATGGGATTAAGGGAGAAAGGAAATATTTTCCTAAAGGTTTCCAATAACTAATGGAACAGGCCTATTTCCTTGTGATCACGTTACCGTTTTTCTTAACAGTTTAGAAAAAGATAAGAAATTTGAAGTGAACTACATTTGAAAATGAGAAGAAATTGATAGTCAATGTTTTTATCATAAAAAACTCTCTGTTCAGTAAAGAACAGTTGTTATTTTAGAACTTTCAAGAGGAATCCCAAACCTTCTCTTACTCTGTTATAATATATTAAGGCAAGGTGAAAACAAAAAAACATTAACATGCAACAAAGATTTTTTATTGGACTTGTTAATTTGCTTATTGTTTATATGCATGTGTTCAGATTATTGAAAACATATACTATATCAACTATAATATGCTTCCGTGTGTGAATAGGTGTAATACTTTATTGGCTCCCCAGTTCTCACAATACTTTATGTTAAAAGCAAACTTTTGTGTTTAACCTAATCTGTCATGTCAGAGACTAATATCAAACCGCATGTGGTGTTATACAGCCAGTGTCCAAACTCTCGTGTATCTACTTAAATGTTAGCAAATAAGGGATATAGTTAGTAACACAAAAATACGTTATACAACGATTTTTTTTCACAACTATCACTAAATCATTCGACACTGACACCGCATCAAACCCCGCGGTAGACAGTTATGTGCGCACCGATTATATAATCCCTACCTACAGGGTGGGGTGGTGGTTCGGTCTATTGTCTAATAAATGCTGGGCGGCGCCTTTGATCTCGCCTCCAACCATGCATGTAGTAGAAGTAAAAGATTATCAGGATGGCCTGGAAATAAACAAGATACTTTCCTGTTGCATATCAAGGCACCAATTCATCTGTCATTGGGGTTTTGTTATGTATGTGTAGCCCAGTGTATCCCACTTAACTAGAATGTTTCATGTCTACAAGCCAGGTATTTGCCCACACCAACTATTTTTTTGCTTTATTGCGTCAGTGTGGTTTATCAACACTTGTATAACGCGTGCGTCAGTGTACTTTATCAACACTTGTATGACGCTTATTCACGCGTGGTGTGGCAGACTGAAATTGAACATTATGATAGCGTCAGCAGGGATAATAGAGGTCATAAGACATAACTTTATTTGCTTTTCAGGCCACAGACAGTGGCAAGTGAAGATCATACATATATGTGTTTAAGTTACTTCTTTGATAGGCATGTAGAAGTTGCAGTACTACGTAAGGATAAGATTTATGGATGAACAACTTCTTTCGGTGTTGGTAAACTTGCTTGATAACGGTGTTAGAACCTACGCCGGAACGTCGCTCTTAATTGTAATAAAGAAGTTGTTCATTCATAAATCTTATCCTTACTTATGTTTAAGTTACATGGGCAGCAGGCTAGATTATTTACATCAATACAATGAAAATATTATGTTCAATAAAAGAAAACGTTGATAGCTTTTTAACTCCCGTTTTTTTTACAATTAAACAAACTGTGGACATATTCGCCTATCGTAATAACATCTAGGTAACAAATATATATTTCTGAAATCCACGAGCAAAATTGGTGTCAAACTGAAAAACATAATCAGGGCGGCCAGTTTTGACTTGCCAAGTGCCTTAAAGTGAGTTTATTCTTAAAAATGCCAAAAGCGATTGACCTTACAATATATAGCTGGGAATTGTCTCTCGCACGGTTATGGGTAATGACGTATGGTATAATATTACTGGGGAATGTTCAAATTAGTTGCTGTCATTTACTCCAACGTCAAGTGTCTCAACAGGACCATAACTTTGGTTATATATGAACTCCCTGTCTCTATGTCTTAAGTTGTTAATCGGTAATTGCAGTCCAAATTTATCAACTTATTAATCTTTTGTTGCAAACGTGACTGATTTGTTTACACAATAAGAAATGTTATTGATCATGAACTACTGAGGCAGTTAAGCACCTGTATAAGAAATGTAAAAGCAGCCATGTTACATTTAGTCCAAAAGTATTAAACTTCATCCATCACTAAAGTGTCACCAGTTGGAAGACCAGTTCGCCGATAAACAAGGATTCTAACTAAGCTTGAATCTATGAAAGCTAGCATGTGAATAAACTCAGTTTACTGAAATTTAAATAATTAAAGCGCTTGCAGTGACCTTAACAAGTAATCAGTAAGATGGTATATAAATACTGGGAACGCCAAACAACTTCATTGTAAATAGACATATGCACCTGTGAATGGCGTGGTGGCCTTAGCCTTGTATATCAAAGTTTCAAATACCAAGTGAAACAAAGACGAGGTCCCTGCATACACTGGACATGATGTATGCTGCATGTCCAGCCACCATCAATATCACTAGTGATCTTTTCGCGATTCCGAGTCTTGCGCATAACCGTTGTCACCACCTGGTTGAGTGGCTTCCTTCCATCAACGTGAAAGGATTACCCACAAACAAATTTCCTCTAATAATAAACTGTTACCTTTGGTATCCCTTGCAATACTCATTATGGTCATTGGGCAAGTGTTAACATCACAAACCCAAACGAGATTCTGTGTACATGGTCACACCCGGTGATTTAGTCCTGCACCATGACCGTGGAATATATTTATTTTATGAAAAAAAACATAATCTAGAAATGCATACAAGCTAGCTCTATTCTGAAATCAGCATAGGGAATTTTATTTTTATTTTTAGAGTCAAGAAGGATATTGTGTAATATAAGATTTCAGAGACTAAATGTTAGTCTACCGGTGATTGTGAAGATCTCAAATTCTATCAAAGTCAGACAACATGGCTGTTCATATTCATTACCAATCTTCTCTTAGAATTAGTGATACACATTAGAATCCCACACAAAACATTCTCTTATTAATTCTTACAAAATACAAAACAGAAAGTTAGGAGTGGGGAAATGGGACATATCCCTACGTGAAAAAATAAGACATTAGTAGTGGTGACATCTATATCATAATTGTACGACCTAAAGCATACATTTGACGTACGAAAAGCGTAATATTTGCAATCACCTGGAATGACTTATGTTGGCAAAACCTAAAACGAATATGTCCGCAATCCACAAACAATGACTTCATTAATGGCGAACATTTACCAACCTGCGACAATCGTGTCAACTCGGTGTTCCCCTAGCAATAAACTCGCATCTAAATTCACTACTGTTCTACTGTCGGCTAGTCCCAATGGCGAGACTGGACCCTCGTGGAATGGGCCATGCCATAAATGTCCAGCAACCGAACACTTATAAAGACGGGCCGACCTTGTGTTTATGGTCTGGTGAACACAGGTCAATGGCTCCTTATTTACTCAAGATTCACATCTCACTGTTTTGTTTTATCTCACTATTCATTTGATACATTTGTCAAATTTGACTGAAGCCTGGTCCCGTGCTACATGCATGGCACACGCATGTGCAACGAGTGACCCAAGCGTGCTCAACGGGTTGCACACGCGCTGCACACCGTTGCACACGCATGTTCAACGGGTGACCAACTCGTGTGCAACCCGTTGAGCATCCGTGTCACATGCGTGTTACATGCGTTCTCAACGCGTGTTAGGTCAATGAACTCCTAGGCAGTAGTGTATGATAGTATACATGTTTCAGCCAATGTCTATAATCAGACAATATGTATATTGACCAAACCAATTCAGTCAATATGTATATTGACTGATATACTCATGTAATGTACATATTGACTGAAATTTAGACTGATTGTCTGAAACGAATTAGACTCTTTATTTTGGATCTATTTTAATCTTATGATGAGATCCAAAGTTCGTGGACAGAAAGGGTTTAACAACTACCCCCAGTCTTGTAATTCGTTTGCGCTCATTCTGACATTCAAAGTTATTTGTACAATTCTACTGCCAGTGAATCAGTCAATATACACATTGACTAAAATGTTTAGTCAATATACATGTTGCCTAGTTATAGACATTGACTGTAACATACACACCGGGGAAAAACGATATTCAACCCCTCAGTTTCCACTGACTCATGAAACAAGTGCCGGAAAATGGCAAGAAATTACTGACACAAAATGAGATCGGATATAGAATCTATATATAATATAATTTGCTGATTACTGTTATGGTAGCCAGTTGACGCCCTGTTGTTTTTAAGGACAACATTGTGGAATGCGTTCCGAATATTTGCCATCTTTGCGCCTCTGATGTCCTCTTCATGCCATGTTAACGGGGGATGATTACATATTGCAAAACAGTGGATTTAAATACTAGTACCCAAATGTGATGCCTGAAAAGACTGCATTTTGGTGAATGCATTAGTGGGATGTACATGCATGTCAATTTGGGTTCTGAAGTCACCGTCAAACATGAACGGTCCTTACTTATGATGTAACACCATTCTTGTCCTAGCCATCATTGTCATTACAGCTGAAATTAAGGCATCTTCCCGAGGCAAGGGACTTAAATGACTATAAAAGTCCAGTTTCCACCCTTGCCGAACTAGGCCGGAATTTCCAGGCTCGACCGTAACTCCACCAGTGGCGAGTTATGTCCTTCTATGTTCCTCCTATTGACGAATCAGATTCCACCTCTCATATCACTTGCATTTGCTTAAAAAAAATGATCTGATCGATAATCAGATTCTATATTGAGAAAAAAAACGGGCCTTACCCCGCGAAATGCATCAAATCACCTGAGCACCTTGATTAAAAAACAAATAATTCAAAATATCTTTCTGTGGAAACTGGACTTTTAAAGTGAGTTAACTCCCTTGCCTTGGGAGGACGAAGTTAAGGTTACATGTTTTCATTCATTACCTCGGGGATGCTTAATTTTTTTTCAGGTGTAAAGTAGGCCTACGAACTACATCACTTTGGGCTTTGCTCCATCAATAAGCTGATAACCATGATGTAACATTTATACTGTTCACGTCGGTCTAGACCCGTGAAGATCCGGTTAGAACAGATCTTCAGCAACCCATGCTTGCTGTAAGAGGCGACTTTGCTTGTCGTAAGAGGCGACTAACGAGATCGAATGTTCAGGCTCCCTGCCTATGTTGGTGCATGTCATCGTATCGCAATTGCGTGGATTGATGCTCATGATGTCAATCACTGGATTGTCTGATCCAGACTTGATTATATACAGACCGCCGTCATATGGCTGGAATATTGCTAAGTGCGGCTTTAAACAACAAATAAGCAAATAAACAAACATAGCGGCCAAACAAACAACTCACGCAATCATTACAAGCCTGCGTGCTTAACTATTTCTAGAATCCCAGTTAACTCTATCATGGTTGATCGCGATGGACAACCACATCCTATGAAGCACACGGCAGATGGGTTCTGGGAATTAAGCGATGGATTGGTAGAGCTCCCCATCAAACTGGAGATGACAGCAGTCAATGGGGAGTCCGTCCGTGACATCATAACCAGGATAGGTAAGAACATTAGTCATTGTGGCAGCAGATGTCTTTCATGTTTGACACACACATTTTGTCACGAAGGACAACAAAAACGTGTAATCAGGGACCTTGCTACGTTGTAACATAATCCTTCTCTGACAAAGCTTTGGGGTTATACTATTGATTAATTACTCCGTGGAGATCACTATCACAGCACACTGGGTCCATTAAACATTCATTTTCCTTGGACGGGATAAGTGCGTAAATACTGCTAGACATAAACAGTGACTCTAACTCCAATGTCCATCCTCAAATCTCCATTGTATTTAATCTCCATTCTGTTATGATAAATAACCCTGGATACTGTAGCTTTTTAAATACTCGATTCGACCCTTGTCTCAAACATATCCTTGCAGCAAAATGACTTGTCTTCAGCGTCTGAGTTGTGTTATTGGATTGAATGTATGGAGGTTACAATTTTGAATGTAGATCAATGCCGAACACGCATTCAGAAAAGGTATTTGGATTTGTTTTGAATTGAAACTCATCAGCGAGAGATAGTTAGTGCTTATTTTCAAAAGACATCAGGGTACCCTGGGAGAATGGTATGTTGGCCACATTTTGGAACTTCAAGGAATATTACAAATGGAAATTGCTTTTATAATGTGTAATGTTTCGTGGGTAACTTTAGAAGATAACCCATGTGCAGAGCTGATACGTCCTGTAGCATCCATAAACACTGGAGGCTGTTTATTGATGGAGATGGGCTTTGTCCAACTTTTCATAATTCTATATCAGCTTAATTCAATGTCATTCATAGAAAGAATACTGACAGTTATTATCGTTATGACGGTATCTTATAAAGTAAGATTCTTCAAAGTGGATAAAGGCACCTGGAAGAACTTAAACGTGTAATTTTCCGTTGTAAATGTACCGAGACCGCCATCTTGGATTCTCGGTGCGGGGGCCGGCATCGAGCAGTCATTGCCTGGGACTCGGTTTTGGCCGATGTCCAACGATACCCAGATATCATAAATGAGAGTAAGCCAGTGACGCCACTTCCGGAACGAAGGTAGGGTGCCAAATGGGTACACGGTAGACATCACAATAGAAATGAAGTACACTTGGTAATCGAGGATGAGTGTTGTAGGTCCATTTCTCACAATATGTTTAAGTTCAATAAAATCCCATATAAACTTTTTGTGTTGCGAATCGTGTAATTATCTGCTTCTATTTACAGAAAGCGATGTTGTCATTCAAGGCGAAAACGGAGTTCAGTTTAGTCGTGACAACCGCCTTCCTCACGCTTGAATCCCAGATGCCAGCACACAGGAATCAATGTACCGTTATGCTCTAAGTAGTGCTACAACCTCAATGAGCCATGATGCTAGTACCGTGGTACGGTTACAATTAAAGCGAACCACTCTCCCAACCTAGACGCTTATTTCCGTAGTCATATCTCGTAATAAATAATATCAATGTTACATTGTCTCGAACTATTTACTGCATCCCTTTCAGAAATCATTGGGACTGCACAAAGATAAAACAAGACCGTACTCTGTGTCACTGAAAGAGAGCCAAACGATTCCTGCACCTTTTGTTGATGGGTGATTCTACAAACAGTAAGAGTGCACAGTATCGAATGGAGAGCATAGTTCTTGATATTGCTTTGAAACGTTTGGCCAAATCAGAAACCAATTCCACCAATCGTGCGAAAAATATGTTCCTGAACTTGAAAACAAGGTTGTTGATGCCTTAAAGTTAAGTTAAATTATCGGGGGGAAAAATCAGTTTCCCAAAATGTCCCACTATATTTCAAATTTCAGGAACCACCAACAGTTTCATTCTCCAATACGAACACGATCTAATCCAAGCTGTTCAATTATAGGAACGTAATTTCCACGGCTTCTGGCTGCCAAGACTCATCATACTACTCCACACCTGTTGGTCATATTCTCATAGATGACGTCTCTGTTGTAACAATAACAACCTCCGTCAGTTATGGACCGAAATAGTGTTAGCAGCCTCCTACCAATTTGGATGACAACTTTAAAATCATTCCGCATTTTGTCGAAGCATATGCCAAATATGTGCCAAAAGAGAAGATAAACCAATAAGATGTCTTTCAGAGTGGTTAAGTCAGTATTTGGTGCTGTCACGTGCAGAATGCACAAACCGCCAGAGGAACAAACCCATTCTGTCCCAGCCAGCTGCCATCTAAAGTGTGACTGCCTTACATGAACAGTGTGCGGTTGTTCCCACTGACGAGGTCTTACAAACATAACCGTTATATGTACGCATCACTTCATTATTGGTTTCGTCAAAAAAGTGACACATCAAATAATGCCACGCATCAGCATTATCTACATTTGCCTTGACTCTAAAACCGATGTCACTTCCTCTTTTGTACTGGATTCCAAATCCGTAGAAAGAGAGATACATTACTGGGTCCTGCAAATGTGTCACCAAATTCCTATCGCAAAAAATAACAATGGTCCTTAATACAAACAAGGAAGCACTTCAATGTATTCACAGAAAGTAATTGTGACAGTGGTATAAATACCATGTTTGGATTCGCCAAAACTCAAAGGATTTGTTTGAATTCAGATAAAAGAACCCAACTTAGATCAATTGTGTCAAAAGATTTGACTTTTCAACTCTGTACACCAATATCCTAGACTTGCAAAATTTTCCTAGGCAAATTATTAGTTTAAATCATAATTTCTAGATTATATAAATGACAAGAACAAGTCCCTATTTGAGACTGGCGTCCTTGTACAGGTCATAATCTAGACTTGCCAATCTTGAGGATAGAATTACTATACACTCATGGACTTTCAGTACAACCTTGGAGGCTAACCAATATCCCACACCACAAACCTCAGGGAAAACGTCATTGCTTGATCCATGGGGCATATGTTACTAAAAGTCGTGACCATAGATAAAGCTGAAATCCTGGTAAAAGTGGCTTAAAACCCAACTCCCTCACTCACATAGTTATTAGAGGTAGCAACTGAGTGGTTCCACTGAGTAAATCTAAGTCACTGATCAATGCAAGTCTCTTGTCACAGCGTCAACACAAGAGTCAATGCGAGGTCACAGTAACATGATACAAAGTTGTTATTACCTCGGAATGTGTAATTAAAAACCAACAACCAGAGGCACGCTTACTAAGCTACCTTGATTGTCAACACGTTAAGTGCCACTTGAGCATAATACAACCGACCGCTCAAAGCAGATTTCAAATGGTTTTGTATCTCTATATGAGTAGAGGCAACGTGCTTAATTTGTTTGCTCTGTTGTCCGATTAAGTTACTCATTTATTGGGTCTATAGATATCCCGTATGGTCGCTTGAATGATATTAATCAGTTGCAAACACCATTACGGAAACTTGTATTCGTTCATTTTGTTTCTGCCTCCCTTTGCATGCATGCATTTCAGCACTGGTTTTAGTTTTCATGGATTTCCTTTTGAAAAGCTCAAAAAGTGCATTCTAACGATTGTTTGATGAGGATGGGAAACACATTATCATCTTTCTATGGTAGACATGTGGAGGACATTTCCAAATTTGATGTACCAATGACAAAATGATGTCAGATGCAGTTGTCTATTTTGACTTGTAACTTATGTTCTCGTGTGTGTTTTTTATCAGGTGAACACTTCACTTGCCTTTACATGTGTTTGTGACGGGTTCTACCGGTTAGGGGTTCCACCTTTTCGCGAACACCTTGTATCATCACTATTTGATAGCGGTTCATAGACACATGCTTGTGATGCAGTCGGAATCGTACAATAGTTATTAGTTTTAGTAGATTCCGATAGAAATGGAAACTGTCAGTACGTTCATACACTGACAGATCTCCCACTAATGTTATCACTGCTGCTAATTAAAGAAACACATCTGTTAGTTATTTTGAGAGAGTGTACAAACAGGAATACGTGTTAACTGGCCAAGGTGGTGCACGAACATGCATTGAGTTTTGTTGTTTAGAGCCGCTCTCAGCAATATTACAGCTGTATGACGGCGAGTCACACAAACCAGCGAATGGTGTTATAGGCAACCCCCTCTCCTGTGCAGTTGGGGGACGATGACAACCAAGTTACCGAGCCTGACCACCCCATCATGCAGGAGCCTAATACGACCATCAGATGTTGCTGGGCACCTGGTGGGGTGAAATGGGGTTTAACGTCGCGTTGAAGATTATTGCACTTAATTATATAGCGTCATGCATGCATTATTCATTTATTTGTTATTCATTTATTTTTTAAATCATTATTTTTATTTATTTATTTTGTAGGGGGGTGCAGATAAGAAGGGTGGCTTTGAGTTTATTAGTTTCTTATACAGCATGTTTTTTGTGTGGGTTGGTGGGGATTTATATATGATCATGGGAATATATACATATGTGCAAGTTGGTTATCCTCTATCTGATGAAAATATAATGCTACATGTAACATTCTTAAACTGTAATGAATAATTGTGTTTACTATAATTAATATCAGCATGATCAGCTGTTGTAATAGACATTGATGACAGTCACGTTTGATTTGTCGAGACAAATGGCGACTTTGTGATAGGCTTCACATGAGAAAAATGACTTTCTGATTGGTTAGAATAATAAACACTGTTTGGATTGACAAATTGCCTGGTGTTCATCGATTAACACGTCCGATCAAATACACCGCACCATCGTATGTTTTCCCTTCTCATTCAGCAGATCTCCGAGGTGGTGTAAATATAAATATGTGGTGAAAATTTATTCTAATCGCCAATTATATTAGTTTAATGAGCTCCTCAAATCCCAATAATCAGTTGATTTTGCACTGCTCCTCACATCAGTTCTGTACTATTGTCCTAGTACTTCGATATAGAAGCATTTATTACACAGGTTCATAAACGTTAATTGAATAATATACTTTTTTGTCAAGTACCAAAACTTTCCGAATGTGAATTGATAAAAGTAATTAATAATTAATGATGGCATGGAAGTAAGACCGGCATTGTGCGGGACGGAAGGAGATGTCACATCGGATACTGTGGTTTATTGATTCTTCCAAGGCATGTTATGTTTGTCTTCGTGATTATCGGTAATGGTCGACAAGTCCAGATAAACAGCTAGGTTGGTTCTCTAAAGGTTACCTATTACTTAAAACAATATCAGTCACATTGCTTTCCACTTTTACAATGTGAAAATAGTAACAATTGATCAAGTCTGTACTGTGCCAACACATGAAGACCGTAGGACATGCCTGGGTTTCCAAGCATGGTGACTGTGTGTGTGTGTGAGTGAGCTCTTTTCAGTGTTTGGCCGGGATTTTGTTGAAGGTGGCATACAAATTACTGTTTTATTCAATATTCCACCTCTTCTGATATTGCTCTTCTAAAATTCATTTCCACAAAAGCACATAACCGGGGGAGCAAGTTTTAAGTATTCTTACCCAGGGAGTCTATATGAGACTTTTTCCCTCACATGACTTAAATATGGAAGTTTCACCGTTGCATTGTAACACTCTTTCGGTCTCGACTTTCAGTGCTTATGAATTCAATGTTTATCACAACCAAAAGCAATGTGATTATAACTAGTCACAGCAAACATACATTATACTCGTCAGCATTTGATAGTTTACAATATCCGAATTATGTAAACATGGGATTCATTACCAACTTCCGACAAGAGAGAGAGAAAATCATTAAAAATATCATAATTTGTCGATAGTAACATGCTTAATACCTATTTGTGATGAAACAATATCATCGCACATATGGGAACCAATTTACTGGATCATCCCATCACTGACTGATGCATCATGTGTTTACTGTTACGCTGGGTTCATGCAACCCATGCATGGACAATAGAGCCATCCTGCGCTTTGAATGAGGTAGCTTCCCTTACCCGTAAATCCCAATAAGGAATTTACATGATTTTATTTGTATAATAACATGACGATCCCATCACACCCACATTGCCCATTGGGTAAATCGCATGCGGGTACCAAGGTAAAGGTTATTTACAACCGCCACATTATGGTGTATTTACCCAATGGCAACATATTCATGTGGTTTCTCGATTGATTTGCCAGCCCACCTTTATTGCAAGCACTCATTGATTGCTTTTAGCAATGTACGTTAATGCGTTAAACCCACCGTCGGGGTGATATATAGAGACTGAAGGGAACGAAGGTGAACCTAGATGTTGGCACGATGACACGACCATGGCAAGAGTTTAGACACGTCAGTTGAAGTGTCCATTACATTTGTGTTGATATACTGAAGATTGTCCACATATCATTTGAACTCTGTACATGATGTAATTTATTTACAACTCAAGCTGGACATTATTATCGAGGTATTGAGTTTTTAAGTTTCTTTATGATGTGATACAAGCTCAGTCGGGCTCTTTGAGGACATTTCAACATTAACAAATTTAACAATTGCTCCACGCCGAAGAAACTCCCAGCCTTCAACAATGATGGCGCCGCCAAGAGCCAGGTCTCAGAAGAACGGTATCCCTGAAGCCTTTGTTTACCGCGGGGAAGAGGAAATGAAAACTGGCAACGTAAAAGAACAATTTAAGAAGTTCTTTCAGGAAACCAGTTTCACTGCTCTGGTTCGAATCTACAACGCTACATCCCTGGTAAAGCGCCTTGCGTGGTTGGTGGTGTTTCTGGGGATGCTGGCGTGGCTGTCAGTTCAGTGTTACTGGCTCCTGGAGCGGTACTTCAACTACCCCATGGAAGTTAAGATGGACTTGGTGGCGGCACAGGAAATAGAATTCCCCAGTGTTACCGTATGTAATTTGAACCCGCTCAAGCAATCAAAGCTAATGGAGAGGCCCTATGCCGATCTCGGATCCTTTATGCAGCTTGAGTCGCAAGATATGCTATACACCGCATTCAAGGATAACTACTATGACGATTGGCAAGCCAAGCAACAACCACAAGATCGTAAGTATAATTAATAATAATTAAATGTGAAGATTCGGGACTCACGTCTTAAGTCAATGAATATGCCATACAATTAAAGTGATACAAAAATAGCTACCGAGAACATGTTTATTTGGTCAATCTTGAATAATACCTTTTTGTAAAAGATCTAACTGACCAGGTATTCGTTGTATTTAAATGCGACTTGGGTATACATGTACAGTCCAACCACTCCAACTCTAGGTATAACTGTATAGTATTCTTCATTGAAACAGCTGAAACATTAGATCAATTTATGTCTCAACAGATTTCGTAAAAAGAATATACTGTCTCTCTGTCTATAAGGTATACCTTAATTACTAGTATATTGACAATGCGAGTACAGTTGTACAATACATATATTAACAATTTTATACACCTCATTGGTATAATGCTTTCAATGTATCATTAAATCAAATTTATCAATATTCCACAATATCTTAGAATAGCCAATTTGTTGGCCACTCACTGAATCTGTGTACCCTCTGTTTGTCCTGTGGATGAATCACTGGACGTCGCCCTCTTCTTGTCAGATCAACTGAGTGCAGAGGATTAACAGGCCAAACAAAAACCTACCATGAATTTTAAACCCAATATTAAATAATATACCAATGAACATGTAGGTCAGTAGATAAAAACTGTTGCGACGATACAATATACAGTAGTTCTAGTTTGGTTTCAATCTCATTAAAATCAGATCTCAATTCTCGCTTCCGCTAAACAAAGATCTGAGGGCACACTATTACGGGTCACGTCCACGAACTTTGACCAACCAATGGAATGACCAATCAGAGGGCAGCTTTCTCGTGCTTTACGGCACTAATTTCAAATTGGCGACTACGCTTCGAAACATATTTTGATAAATTCTCGATTACAAATTTGAAACCTGAACAAAAGAACATTCTTGAATGACTAATAGATGGTCTAGATTGTATGGATTTAGTCGTTAAACCCGTAACTATCGTTCGGAATACCCCGAGTTAAAGTTTTCGAGGTTGCATGATTAGAAATCACATTCCGACTGTCACTTTCATAATCTGGTAAGCGACGCTCTGATTAGTTGGAAGGAAGGTCGTTCTGACGTGACCCCTAATGGAATGTCTTCAGATCTTTGTTTAGCGATAGCGAGAACTAAGGTCCGATTTTAATGAGCTTTGTTTGGTTTGCGTTTCTGAGGTTTTCTGAAGTATGTCGGCATGATGATTTATTATGTAAAAATCTGCACTCGTTTATGTTGTCTGCAACAAAGTGGTTATTCAGGCTCACGCGGTAAGGATTTCACAAATAATGTCTTAAGACTATAGAGGAATACATCGACTAACAATACCAAACATTATGACTGTTTGTGGTTCCGGGGTGGAATACACAATTTTCATCCATTTTTGGTTCTGAACGCTGTGAATTACATATATGTGCATGACCTCTGGTTCCAGCCATAGAGATGGGGCCACGTATGGGAATGTCCCCTGATCCAATAACAACTTGGACGCCGAACCAAAACACATTCTCGGGATCAAATATAAACACAGCGATTGGTTCGTCTCCTGGCGTGGCAACAAATCCTCCGTCTGATGCATCGACAACTACATCATCGGTGTCTTCTTCGTCAACAAATGCCAACGTTCCCTCTGGCCTAGCCACAAGCTCTGCGTCTGTCACGACAGGCGGAGGTCTTGATACAACTACAAAAAGCGGAGATCCTGCTCCATTTGGGTCTGCCCAAACGGCATCTTCATCCTCATCCTTAACAACACATGGTGGCGATTTCTCTGACCCTACATTAGGCATGACGGGCGGAGATCCACTCGAAACGACCCCAGTCAGTGGCGGAGAAGGACCTCCGCCGAAAATAAGAAAAAGGAGACAAGCAACAGATCTCACCGATTTCTTGAAGGAAAATACCTTCAATAAATGGGATATGCTGGAACGAAGTAACGTGGCTACTCAGTTTTATGAAGATAAGGACAGAGAGTATATAGCCTCAATGGCCTATGCTACCTTCTCCAAGACACATAATGAGTCCATCGTGATTAATGGAGGCCATCCAGCTAATAACTTCTTTATTGACTGCAAAATGGCAGGTTTCGCTTGTTCGCCTCGGTATGTATTTCACAAAATGATTCTTGTGTCAAAAGTTAATATATTTCCTATAACAGTAATATTTCAGATTTATTTTGGAATCACGTTCGTATAGGACTTGCACTATCATAATCTTAATCCATTTTAATGTTTTTAAAACATAACATTTTCATGTATTTTGTTACAAAGATCTTTTTCCAGTTTCCATCTTTGGCGATTTCACTTTTTAAACCTGAACCCTGGCTGAATTAAGGATCTTTGTTTGATTTCTTTCAATTAAGATGTCAGATATTAAGTTTGCATTTATATTTCTCTCAAAACTCGAAAAAGACTGTAATCAAACCTCTAATGTTGATAATCCTTCATACATGAAACAGTTCATAAAAGTGACCTCATAAATGTGTTGACATTGTATATAGGTGTACTAATCCCATTTTCAGGAACTTTACTACCTTTGTTAGTCACAAATATGGCAACTGTTACACGTTCAACGCCGAGGGAAACGGAAAGAAGGTCGTGACAAAGTTTACTGGTCCCGGTTATGGTAATAACTTATCTTTCATTCATGCACCATGTTTTGAGACATATTACCTTATACTCATATCTCTTTACCACCGTAGGGACTCCAGCCCCATGTTGGTCGAAAGAGGCGATAAATGAAGGGTGGTCAGTGTGTGACCTGGTTGATTCTGTTTCATCGTGCCCCAAAGTTGATGATTGTTGCTCGAACTGTCAGTTCAGTTCAGTTTTTTTCTCAGAAAAACTCACCAACGGTGATACATGAGAAAAAATATATCATAAATTCATATTATAATAATAATAATAATAATAATAATAATAATAATAATATCAAGATGACAGGGGTATTGTGCAAATACGTATAGAGATTGAAAGTTATGTTGTTGTTAGTTAGTTGAAATATGACAAAATGAAAGTGAACCTCATACACGTTTTGTAACAGCTTCAACATTTCTAAAGATGGTATTGATAAATTTGGACACGTTTGTCATATCTTTTACTCCAACGCTGGATAAACATTTATACAAATTAGAACATTAGGCCATTTACTGATATTCTCAACATACACCTTTTTTAGGATATCTTTGTGGTTTGTTTTGCATACATTTGCAAATAATGATTTCAATTAACATTAAATAATTATATAGTATTAGATGGCATAGTTATTTTTCATCATTTCTTTTCAATGTGTCGGATCATTCTTTTATGTTAACTGTTAACTTTGGAAGAATCGGCGAAAATTATGCATCAGTACTATCAAATTTAAACTTGACTCTAAAACCTGAAGAAATGTCCTTTCCTCTTTGTACTGGATTCCAAAGCTCCAGAGATATACATGTACAAAACTAACAAGAGATAAACAGTATTGGTACAAACCCTTTCTGTCACAGCCCCCTGTCATCAAAAATCTGATGCCCACCATGAAAAGTTTATAGTTGTTCCTAATGACAAGTACTAAAAGGATCATCATCATATATACACATCACTTCTTTGTTGGTTTGATCAAAGAACTTGGAAAAAGACGTATACAAGAACTTTATCATGGGGTAAACATGTTAAGGTTGCAGCACTACAAGCTAAGAAAGTACTATGTGGCATACTGAAATCTCTGTCCAACTTTAAGCCCATACCCTTTGATTTATTTTTTAAAATATTTGATACCAAAATTAGCCCAATTTTGCTATATGGAGCAGAAATATGGGGTCTGAGTCCTGAAATTTGTAATGATATTGAAAGTATCCACATGATGGCTTGTAAGCGCTTTTTAGGTGTTAAGGTCTCCACCTCAAATCACGTTATAAGAGGTGAATGTTGCCGATATCCTCTATACATCTATGCTTATAAAAGAGTTGTTAAATATTGGTGCAAAATTTTGAAAATGCCAGAATCTAGATATGTAAAGAAATGCTATAATATGCAACTGCAAGCTGTAAGTAATGGTAAAGTAAACTGGGTTTCCAAAATTAGACACATAATTGTGTCAGCAGGATTTGGTTTTATATGGGATCAACAGTGTGTTGCAAATATACCTTTGTTCATAAAGGATTTTTTTGTGAGGCTAAAATTATCGTACCAACAAGACTGGCATTCAGCTATACATGAAAGTTCGAAATCATATTATTATTCTTTGTATAAGCAAACATTTGGTGTTGAAATGTATATTACAAGGCTATCATGTGATAAATTTAGAAGTATTATGGCACGTTTCAGATGTAGTTCTCATCATCTAAGAATTGAATCAGGTAGACATAACAAGGAACCTAGAGAAGAAAGAGTTTGTACTGTCTGTAAATGTGGTTATATCGAAGATGAGTATCACTTTATTTTAATTTGTGATTGTTATCAAGCTTTGAGGTCAGAATATATATCCTTGCATTATTATGAGTTCCCGACAAGACATAAGTACAATATTTTAATGTCATCTACCAACCCATTTACTGTTAAGAAACTAGCCATGTATATTCTGAAAGCTATGAATCTAAGGCAAAGTCTGTTGGGATCTCCAACTCCCATTACCACACTGTAACCATTGTATCATGGGCCTATGGCCTACAATACATCTGAATAAAGTGAATGATGACGTATACAAAATATCACATATAAGGTCAGTATGTTAACTGAGGACGAAATCCGCCATAACCACGCATCAGCACTGGTGACATTTGACTTGACTCTAAAACCTGAAGATGATGTCCTTTCCTCCTTTGTTCTGGATCCCAAAGCTCCTGAGATATATTGCTGGGTTCAGCAAATGTACCACCAAACCCCTGTCGAAAATATTATCCACAGGCCTTTATATAATAAAGGAAGGACTTTCTTTATATTCACAGAAAGTATTTGAAGCGTGGAATTAATACCATGTGGATTTTCAAAACCTCAAAGATTTTGCTAGATTGTTTGCAATCTCAGAAAAGAACTAAGGTCAATTCTGTCAAACATTAGATTTTTCAACTTTGTACACCACTTTCCCGCATGAGAAACTTTAAGGAAAAAATTCATGCCAAAGTCCAAGTGGATTTTGTTACTTAACGTAATGACCATAGATACAGTTACATATTTATATTCAGAGGTTCGGAACAATTTATCAAAATGAAAGCAAATGTCACCTGAAGTGTATTGAGAAAACAATATGTGAAATACTGGACTTTCTCATCGATAACATGAATGTTACATTTGGGGGTAAGACATTCAGGCAAGAATTGGGCATCGTCCTGGGCAATAATTCCACTCTCCTTCTTGCAGATCTGTTTATTTAAGCATGTGAATCGGAATTTCTGATCCAATTAGCAAACTATTTTGACTTGGTACACACGTTCCCGCGAAAAACTGACTTGCCTTGCATCTGTTTGTGGCGGGTACTCCCGATGTGGCAGAATAAGCCCTTTTCACCAACAGCTGGTATCATCACTATTTGCTAGTGATTCATAAACACATGCTCATGAAAAGATCGGAATGTACAATCGAATTTGCTTTTAACAAAGGTTTCTTATGTATTTGGAAAGGGTTCTGTCTTTTTCTTTCCTCTTAAAGTCTGGAATTGGTGGTACCTTAGGTGCAGTGATATTGCTAGACAACTGTATGATAAGATAAAGGTGAACCTTGTTCTTCAGTCGACTCGGGCAAAGACGCTTTTCATCACGATGCTCACACCTAAAGAGCAGTTTTATGTAATGGAATCAATATGAATGTGACAGGATACCACACAATACACAGGTAACCTAAACCTGGTATACAGTATGATCAGTATATTGCTGATTGTTTGCCGGTACGGTCACCAATATAATGTTAGAAACTCATTAACTACCACCACAATTCCCTTGTTGTCAACGGTGAATTAAACAGCTTAGGCTAACACTACAAATAGATGTAAGGAAACCTGTTCACAGAGCAAATTACGTATTGTTATCTATTATTGATGTTACGGGTGTAATACGGGACGTGAAAAACTATCCCATTGTGTTGATTGATAAAACTGCATTCGCTTAGTGTCTTTGATGGGCGTATATTGGATTTCCCATGTATTCTTCAACAATGGAATTCTTGAAATCGGTAACTATCATCACTTCTGAATTAATCTTCACCTCAACCTCAGTCGAACCCAGCCTCAAGCACAATCTAAACCTCAACTTAAATCCAAACCTCACTTTAAATAAAGTATGGGGTCGGTAAGTCGTGATGGTCGCTTAAACATTGGGATATTAATGTATTTGACTTGCTTAATTTGGGGTTGTCTCCAAAGCAAATAGTATATAATTTAGTTTTCACTAAATTAAATGTTGCATCACATAGCCTACATCAGCGTATGCACTGATGTACATCTCAATGTATTTTCTTTATTTTTTATTGCAATATCCATATACAAATACATGCTCAAAATGGCAAGGTGTATTGAAAGCTAGGATCCTTAGCTGATTTTATCATATGTTTGATTTTTCAAATGAAAATATCTTACTTTAGCTATATTATATCCAACAAGTCATTTGTAATGGCGCTTGGTCAGCACTCAAAGAATATTTTATTTATTGAAATATAAATTGATTTAAAATTTTTGAAAACCTTTAAAAGACAACCCACAACTCAATCAATTTGCTTTTCGGCACATATTTACAACATTTCGGACATCGTATGGTTCATGTGGTTGCAAATTCATTCCTTACCCAAAGACTTCATTGAATCAAATCTTTTTACACAAAATTACCCAGCCACAAATTACGTTTTCACAAACTGTTGCAGGAATGAGTGATAGTTAAATAGACATAACCAACATTCGCAACACTTCAATTTCACTTATATTAAAAACAAACTCTGTAATTCTTTCTTTTATCCCTCAGTTTATTTAACTGGTTCGTCATGGGAGACTCTCTTATTGAATGTAATTGTCAACACACGTCTTTCTGTGTACAATATGCGTTCTGTTTGGTGAGTTAAAGGCATACAACAAAATAAGGGGCTGTTCCCGGAATACGAACCATTTCTAGTATAATTGGAAAGACATGGCTGTCAGGTATAAGTCGTATTTCAATCATTAAAACGCAGAAGGTATTCCGAGCTGATTTGTTGTTCAGTCAATTTGTGTCCCACGCTCGGCGATGCCACCGACATTATTTGTGTTGAGAAAGGAGAACATATGGTAGTTCATGTTTACAACTTTACACATGCTAATACCTTTCAAAAGGTTCATAATAACGGATATTAATAGTGGGTGTTGATTATTGGTTTCGAATAGTTACTGTTAAGTCATCTTGTGCTGTGACAACACCGACCTATTGTGTTTCTGCGTACTGACACTTGTGTGAGATCGAATGTTGTGTGAGATCGCTTGTGTTTTTCCTCAAGGTTATATTTGAATATAACAAGAAACCGTCTGAATATAACGAATACTGTCAGTCTTTCATTGTGTTGTGCATGAAATACGAGGGCTGGTAAAAAAGTGCAAAGCCTAACAAACAAAACAAGCATATTTGAAAGTGTTATTAGTTATATTTTTCAAAATAATCTCCTGCTTTTCAATACACTTTTCATATCGCAATGAACTACTCAAACACTGTACTACACTGACTCGTTCATTTTGTTATGGCCAGTAGTTGAAAGTAAGTCAGGCTTAGAACTTTATGACCAGACCTCGTATGTACATTAACTGGTGGTGGTGGTGGTGGTGGTGGTGGTTTAAGAGGTTGTGGTGGTAGTGGTGGTTGTAGTTGTGGTGATGGTAGTGGTGGTGGTTGTAGTGGTGGTGGTGGTAGTGGGGGTTGTAGTGGTGGTGGTTGTAGTGGTGGTGGTGGTTGTAGTGGTTGTTGTTGCGGTGGTGGTTGTAGTGGCGGCGGCGGCCGTGGTGGTAGTGGTGGTGGTGGTAGTAGTGGTGGTGTTGGTAGTGATGATGGTGGTAGTTTTTGTGGTGGTGGTAGTGATGTTGTTGGTTGTTGTTGTTGTTGTGGTGGTGGTGGTGGTGGTAGTGATGCTGGTGGTTGTTGTTGTTGTGGTGGTAGTGTTGGTGTTGGTAGTAGTAGTGGTGGTATTGGTAGTGATGATGGTGGTAGTTGTTGCGGTGGTGGTAGTGATGTTGTTGTTGGTTGTTGTTGTTGTGGTGGTGGTGCTAGTGGTTGTTGTTGTTGTTGGTAGTAGAAGTGGTGGTGTTGGAAGTGATTGTTGTGGTGGTAGTGTTGGTAGTGATTGTGATTGTGGTGGTTGTTGTTGTTGTGGTGGTGGTGGTAGTGGTGGTGGTAGTGGTGGTGGTAGTGGTGATACAATGAACATTTGATAATGTACATAAAACAGAATACGTAATACATAAACATGCACTATGTATCCCCGTTATAGTGATACTGTTACATCTATGCGTAAACCGTCATACAGCGGCCATTCCAAAAGTACGTGTATTACATCTTCAACGAGGGTGCGTAAATAAGGTAGCCTCGTGGTTACAATCTTCCCTTGTCACGCCGAATACACGGGTTCGATTCTTCACATGTATAAAATGTGTGAAGCCCATCTCAGGTGTCCCCCTCGTGATATTCTGGAATATTGCAGAATAATTAACAATAATCACACATCTCCATCGTGATCTTACCACTGAATACAAATTCTGATACTCAGGAGCTATTATTGTACGTTAATGGACCAACACTGAAACCTGTTTGAGGCAGTGTATGTTTACATTGTCTCCCACATGATTATAAGCCCATCTCATTCACAAGGGTCAATGCGAAACGGACACAGAGTCCATCAATCAGAGTCAATCAATGTTGTGGAAGTCCAAAATGATGACCACTAATGGTATTTACCTTTCCATAATAAAATCTTAAATCAACATGTTCACGAAAGGTTCTTGTTTCTCACAATAAGCCCCTTCATTCATTCCAGCCATACCATCTATCGGCTTAATTCAGATTGTTCAGTAAGTCCTTCACACACCAATGGATGTAAATCACTCTCTGTTTAGTCACCCGAAACCCAAGTCAAACCAACAGACTGACTGTATTAAACGGTGTCGATCGGTTTTGTTCGCGCGAGAGACGGGGTTACTGAGTAATGAAACGTGAGAGTAATGCACGTCATGCGCATCAGTATACACAAATACTTTTGACCAGATACAATCGTAGTAATTGAACAAACGGCGTTAACTGACTCACACGGCTATTGAGGTGTGCATGTGTTACTCTGCTACTATGGTTACGATACATCTGGACAATGTAAGTTCATTGAAATGAAGGGTATTTAGTGCCAATGGTGGATGTATCACGATCATAAACATCACATGATTGTCCCGAATGATAATTGCTTTCACTTAATCCACCTTTACAATTAACACAAACGATTAACGCTGCTTGCAATGATTTCAGGATACACGTCTCTCTGTATTATTTGTTTATATATCAAATAAACCAAGCAGAACTTGTGCGTCATATAGACGTCAACAGATTCCAGTGTGCTATGTTAGATGAAAGTTTACAAACTACAAGTACGCACCCACATACACTTGCACACTTGCACACACACACACACTTGCACACACACACACACACACACACACACACACACACACACACACACACACACACACACACACACACACACACACACACACACACACACACACACACACACACACACACACACACACAAACACACACACAAACACACATACATACACAAACATACACATACACACACAGACATACACATGCACACACATACATACATAAATAACATAAATACATATATAAATACATACATACACACACACACACATACATACATACACACACACACACACACACATACATACATACATACATACATACATACATACATACATACATACATGTCACTCAATTAATGTGATATATATAGACATACAAACAATCAGTATAACTAAATCACTCTAATATGTTTTAAAAGTCACAACCAACCCCCTCACCCCCTGATCACCGCACCCCCTCACCCAAATAGGTGTGTCCGCGCGTGTCTGTACTGTCCTTTACACCCAGGTCTGTCCCTGGAGCTGTATCTGGACCAGGAAGAGTACATCCCCGCCCTGTCCCCATCAGCTGGAGCCAGGGTGCTCATCCACCCCCGCAACTCGATGCCGTTCCCCGAGGACGAGGGGATCTCTATAGCTCCGGGCGTATCTACCTCTGTCGGGTTGCGCAAGGTAAGAATGGTGTTTCATACAAATTTCTTGTGTATTAATATTTTGTCCTGAAGGCTCAATGCGTATTTGCACTAAAAACATGTATTTTGTCGCCTGCGGCGTCGCAATTTTCTTAGCAGAGTTGAGTCCTATAGCTGCACCAGGATCAGCTGATCATTGCTTCGAATACGGTTCCAATCACTTAGACATTACCCGAGTTGTTCGTACATGTCTACATACCTCCCCAGGTTGACATCACCCGCCTGCCACCCCCGCATGGAGTTTGTGCTGAGAAAGGCCTGATTGAGGATATCTACAGCACGAACCTGCACACGAACTACTCCAAGTTATCCTGTCTGAAGTCCTGCTTCCAAAACCTTGTCATCAAGTACTGTCACTGTGCCATGCCCCATTTGTTCGTTCCAGCCAACACCACTGTCTGTGACATGACAAATACCACTGTAGGTATGTAACACAATGTTTCCAATCACCTTACCCGCCAACACCACTCTCTGTGACATGACAATTACCACTGTAGATATGTAACACAATGTTTCCAATCACCTTACCCGCCAACACCACTCTCCGTGACATGACAATTACCACTGTAGATATGTTACACGATGTTTCCAATCACCTTACCCGCCAACACCACTCTCTGTGACATGACAATTACCACTGTAAGATATGTAACACAATGTTTCCAATCACCTTACTCGCCAACACCACTCTCTGTGACATGACAATTACCACTGTAGATATGTAACCCAATGTTTCCAATCACCTTACTCGCCAACACCACTCTCTGTGACGTGACAATTACCACTGTAAGATATGTAACACAATGTTTCCAATCACCTTACCCGCCAACACCACTCTCCGTGACATGACAATTACCACTGTAAGATATGTAACACAATGTTTCCAATCACCTTACCCGCCAACACCACTCTCCGTGACATGACAATTACCACTGTAAGATATGTAACACAATGTTTCCAATCACCTTACCCGCCAACACCACTCTCTGTGACATGACAATTACCACTGTAGATATGTAACCCAATGTTTCCAATCACCTTACTCGCCAACACCACTCTCTGTGACATGACAATTACCACTGTAAGATATGTAACACAATGTTTCCAATCACCTTACCCGCCAACACCACTCTCTGTGACGTGACAACTGCTGTAGGTATGGAGCAGTCATCAGAAGACTTACCCTAGATGGTCAATGGCGAAAGCATATTGAGGAATGGTCGCTAGCTGTTAATGGGAGGGTGACCTATCATATGCCACATTTGAACATGAAGTTCTCCATCAGGCCAGTGCTCCAGTTCCTACCGGCCATGTTACAATAGCTGTACAGGGATGTGGATACCAGCTTCTCCCTTAACGTTAGTCACCATATCTATCTCCTAGTTGCTACCACCTGTTTTCAAATGGTGAAAGATTTAACGAGGACCAGTAGTTGGTTGCTGCTGTGGAGTGCTGGTTGACAGGCCAGGATTTGACCTTCTATAAAACAGGGAGAGCTAAACTTGAGAAGATATGGGACAAGCGGTATTTAATAGCAAAAGGACCATGTTCACGAATAATTAAGATCTTCAGTTCTATGTTTCTTAGGCTCTTAACCTGTTGCTACCCCTCGTAGTTATCAAGGTGTTTAACACAATCACCGTTAAATGGCATATGCATACTGAGGTGCTAGAAAACGATCGCATGAGAACCGCTGAAAAGGTATGTGACACAATTTGTTTCTAATCATTCCCTGGCAAGTGACAGACAGACATTGGAGGTTTGTGATAATACATGTATTGAGAACTCTTTCCTCAGAACCTTCGCTTCTATGACCTTCTTTGTGGTATTCTCTAGAAACCTGCAGCAAGGGCCTACCGGACAATCAGCCAACAGAGTTCAAGCAGTGTGACACGAGCTGCCCTCAACCATGCAGGTACGCGTTTAGGATGGAACGGTTTACTTTGTTTCAATATGTGCTTGAATACTTCAAATGATATCGCTTGCGGGGGAACATGCATGTGTACTTTTCAAGCATGGTTCATTGATATTTCCTGTCATGCTTGCATCGTTGGATGGGTACGTTTTTTTAATGAGCTTATGCTTGCACAAACATACTTATTGTGTTATTATTGAAAACAGGACCCAAATATGGTTAAGTATTTCGATGAGGCTTGATATGAAAAACAAAAGGAGCAAAAAAGAGAAAATGATAATTTCCAGACGCCCAATATTATTTCATAAACCACTTTGTAAATTATATATATCAACCACAAAATAAACAAATATTAGCAAAAAGAAATAATGTATCTTAGAATTTGATTTTGTTATTCTATACTATTGAGTGGTAATTCAGAACACGAACATGTTTTGTCAGCACATGCGTAAATGAAATGACAGGGAATCATTTCTTAGAACATTTTATTTTTACGAAACTAAATTTAGTCCTAAAGAAACAGCTCAAGACAACTGTTGTTGAATGTTTCGTTCGGTCATCATTCTGTATCACGTGGTCTTGTGGTAAAGTAGCACGGCATGACAAGCTTGAAGTATTTAGAACTCTCAGACTCTGCCCTGTATCTTCTATACCTGCAGGGAGATTCGTTTTGAGAAGACGCTGTCTGTTGCTCAATGGCCTTCAAAGCGATATAAGGTGAGTAGGTTTCACATGTAACGTTACAATTCAACAGAATACGTATACCTTCACTGAACAAAAGTAATCCTCTTTTGATGAATTAGGAGTGAACTTGGGACGATCATGTGACCAAGAGAGAGCCACTGGCAATCATTACGACTTTGAGCGAGTCGTGAAACTCCATAGCAACTGGAACGATTTTACGGCTGTGAGTGAGTCGAGGCACTCCATCGCAACTGGGAACGATTTACGGCTGTGAGTTCGTCGAGGCACTCCATCGCAACTGGGAACGATTTTACGGCTGTGAGTGAGTCGAGGCACTCCATCGCAACTGGGATAGATTTTACGACTGTGAGTTAGTCGTGACACTCCATAGCAACTGGGAACGATTTTACGGCTGCGAGTGAGTCGAGGCACGCCTCAGTTACTGAGAACGACCATACGGGCTATGAGTTTGTTAGTGGCATACCTCTGTAAACTCGGAACAATTCTACGGTTACGAGTGACAATTCTTTGTAAGACGGGAACGCGCTTGAAGCCGTGGTACACTTTGGTGGATTTGGGTATCTGTTGTTACTGTATCTGTTAATATAGTCATCATATGGTTTGTCTGTCTATCCGACCGTCCGTCCGTATTTCGTTTTCAGAGCAGGGGTCGTTTTGTGAAGGTCGGGGACATTTGTCATCTTCTGATGAATCTTGTTTTAATTAAATATGTTGTAGGATCATCTTCAGAGTAAGGTCCAGCAGAGTAACTACAGATTCTACGGAGCGAAAGTCGAGTAAGTCAACCTTTATGTTATCAAGTTACAGCATAGGTGCGTTACAAATAAGATACCTATCATGTCATACACCGAGGAGCTGGGACTGTTTGATACAGAATTGATCTTGCACCCAACAATTTTATGGGCACCCACAACTCATTTTGTGAACATTTAACAAGTCCCGCGAACATATTTGGGGGAAGACCTGAGGACAAATTAACAAGGAAATTCGGAACATTTCTCTTTTAAAAATGTTCTTTTAGCGATAATGCTTGTAACATGTAACGCCAATACGGATATGGCTTGCAATATATAACGAGCTGGTCATAAATGGTAATAAACAATTAGTCCACATGTTGTTGTTTTCAGGGAGGAGGACTTCGCAAGGGTAGAAGTCTATTTTGAGGACCTTTTGTTTCAAGAAATTGAGCAACAGAAAGCATACGAGGTAAGATGTATATGTCTATCATTTTCAAATTTTAAATAGCGAGGAGCTTTTCTTTGCTTGTATTTTGTTTGTTATCCTCAGTTCGAGAACTGTCCCAAAACAATATCAATAAAATACGGAACAGAATTAAATTGTGGCCTATTATGACGTGAAATGTGTAAAATATTTCGTTTCGCTTTCAGGCCAATTTGGAAATATCGGTAAATGCCCCCGAAAACTAACGTGATTTATGATGGTGTAAAATATGTCTTGATTCAGTCCCAGAGCTTATCAATGTCTGTTTGAAAATAAAAACATTTTCTTAACGTGTGATATACTTCTCTTGTCTTCAGTCCCAGAACTTGATCAGTGATATCGGCGGCCAATTGGGCCTGTGGCTTGGCCTCTCCGCCATCACCCTGGGAGAGTTGTGCAGTTTCCTCTTTTCCATCGGCCAGGCCATGACCCGAAGGGTCGTCAAAAACAACAAGAAGGGCTACCAAACCCCCATTGAACCGGTCAGTTACATGTAGCGACGGTAAACACCGGAACAGACCGACCAGTTCCGATGTAGAACGAAAGCAACCGAAGTCATCTCCAAAAGCCCTTTGAACATTTATTTGAACTTACCCATTTAGTACTCTTTGTAAATCATTTCATTGGTGAACGTTGTTGTAAAAAAAAAAGGTGATAAGTACTGATGTACGTATAGATATGTGGGTAGTTATGAAGGCGTGTGTTTTAATCTCTAGCTGTTACCTACTAAGGAACAGATTGATTGTGAGATAAAAGCTCTCACTCGTCACCGCGAACACCGGCAGTAATGATGTATCCATTCTTTAGTGTTCTTGATGAGTGATCATTTTTTTAATTTTAATTAGAAGATTTAGGTCAGGTGTTTTCAGATTTGCGGGTGTTAAGGAGTATTTGAAACGTACTTAAACTGCTGAGAAAGATGACGCCATGATGAATGGATGACGGCATAAGATTCCTGACAATTGAACCGTCAAGGTTAGAAGAATGCAACGAAAAATAAACTAAATCGAAGATTTTCTGGGAAAATTGGATCAAGTGCAATATGTCCGACATGATCCGATATTCATGTCAACCAAGCTGAACACCATGTTAAAACAATTGGGACATTAAACTCCTGAAGGACAGTGTTCCTACCTTTTGATACATTCAGGATTTGCATCCCATTTAACAAGTTCGAGGGCGGTGGGGGTAGCCTGGTGATCAAAGCGTTTGCGAAGACCGCCGTGATGTTGCTAAAGCGGCCTAATGGGTACAATGTGTGAAGCCCATTGCTGCTGTCCCCCCGCCATGATGTTGCTAAAGCGGCCTTATGGGTACAATGTGTGAAGCCCATTGCTGGTGTCCCCCCGCCGTGATGTTGCTAAAGCGGCCTAATGGGTACAATGTGTGAAGCCCATTGCTGCCGTCCCCCCGCCATGATGTTGCTAAAGCGGCCTTATGGGTACAATGTGTGAAGCCCATTGCTGGTGTCCCCCGCCATGATGTTGCTAAAGCGGCCTAATGGGTACAATATGTGATGTCCATTGCTGCTGTCCCCCGCCGTGATGTTGCTGAAGCGGCCTAAAGCCATATTTACTTACTTAACATGTTGAACAAATTGCAACACACATTTCTTTTCGCAGTCTAGTATGTTTATGCCGTCTTCATTATATATACAGTGTATAAAAGAAACATTCCACTTTGATATAAATGTGTATTAAAAGGAGCTTAACCTGTGATACTACTGTAGATATATTGGGTTCCAGATAAGCCTTTGAGGAAGATATTTTACGAAAAGATAAATTCTTGTTTCACCATATCCCAACCTATAAGAATGCATATTTCTAAAAGTGTCAATAGAATATTTCAAATGAGAAACAAGATTTGGCGTTGTAATGAGTAATGTTATTGCAATAAAAATGACGATCACCATCAAATATTTTCGATATTTGAATGCACATTTAGCTCTTGGCTTATCTGGAGTTCAGAAAACCTGTTTTTCTATTTTTACCTGTTGTGGAGTATATTTTATCACAGTGTTCGTCCTTTTTGTTACAAGAGGCATCTGATCTCACTTATGTTCACAGAGTACAGGCGTTAAAGCCCTGTTGTCATTTTCTGATCCGCGTGCCTCACATCGGCGGTCGGTCTTGTTTTAAAACAAAATCACAGCTAACGAAAGAAAACAGAGATTGTCTGTTATGTAATTGAAAGAGCTGTTGATTTGATTATGTCTATTGTACCATCAGTCATTCCTGCAACAGTTTGTCAAAACGTCACTTAGCTGGGTAATTTTGTGTAAAAGAAAATTGGTTCATTGAAGTCTTGGGTAAGAAATGAATTTGCAATCACATGACCCCTGCCATGTTTGAAATATTGTAAATGTGTGCCGAAAAAAATAAATTTGTTGATTTTAAAGATCAAGTATATGAGATACCCATCAGCAATTGAATATCATGCGATTTATTTTTTTCAATTTTTAAAAGTATTTGATCAAATTATATTTTAAGAAATAAAATCATGTAGAAGTATTCTTTGAATGCTGACTAAGTGCCACTACAGTACATTTCGGATATGCTATCGCTAATTGAAAATCAAACTTTTGTTATAATCAGCTGAGAGATTTAGTTTCTTTTTCTCCTTAGTTAATGATTTATAATGTTTCTTTATAATTGATTCCTTGAAACAACTCCATGGGGTAGCCTCGTGGTTTAAAGCATTCGTTCACACGCTGAAGACCAAGCTTCAGTTCCAAACATGAACATTATGAGTGAACGTATTTTCGGTTCCCCCCGACGTGATATGGCTAGAATGGTGGAATAGTGCTGGAAGCGGCGTAAAAATAGAAACTCACTCACTCAAGCAGTTTGTTCCAGAAGATCGTCGTTAATACCAGAGACCATATTCCTTATATGGTCTCTGTTAATACATAACGTCTTAGGTTTAACTTCACGAGGTCAATTAAATCCACTCTTGTATCCGTATTCGGCACGAAGAATTCTGTCAATTACCTTTACGGAGAAATCGACACTTGGTTCTTTATAGTGAGTGAGTGAATGCGTGATAATTACTTAACGGGACATCAGTATTCTTGCAGCTGGTCGTAGTGAGGTTCTTGCATTAGCTGCATGCTTTCTATATTCTGAGATGATTGGGTGTCCATAGTGTTTCGTTGTGTAGCTTAAGAGTGTTTTAAATCTGTACATGTTAATCATTGTTGTGTACATATATTCTACGATAACCTCAATATTTATTATTTATTGACATACTGATATATGTATGGAGTGTAGAATCGTCGTTGATTAATTATGTATTTGCTGTAAAATGAGTTTGGAATCCAATTTGAAGAATTAACAGTTTCTGGTTATATCAGACAGTTGCGGACCCGGGATTTTAAAAATGGCTTAACACAATTTTACTGTATTCCCAGTATGCGGTTGTCAAGCGGCCCAAGGCACCGCAAAATAATGTGGGCAGTCGCGTCCCTTCGCAATGCCGGGACTGGTTGATAAGGGGTTCAAATCCAATATTCGCTAAGATTTTAAACCTCGGCCTGTCACCATACCGTGATAAACGCCGGACCTTCTCCCACATAAATATGACACGCCACGACATAACAGAAATATCCGCCAAGATCACTGTTCAAACGTTTTTGGGATTTCTCTTTAGAAGCGCCTTCATAGTTACAGTGTAACAACATGAACTGTGTGAATAAACTAATTGTCTAAAACCTGGATGTGCATTGTGTTTTCTTGAAATACCAAATGAAATAAAAGTTTTCTTCTGTTTGAAAGCGTTCGCTTTGTCAAACAAATTCGTATCAATGCGTCCTTGGCAGAGGAATGGGCTAGAATTGGCAGATTGTTACGTTAAGGGAACGTTTTTAAATGTATTATGAAGTCAGTGTTCTTGTTGCTAACAACTGGCCTCTCTCCCATCCATCACTTGCAAGCAGTGGACTTCTAACATGAACAAATACAGAAATATGGTTAAGACCAGTGCAAACTCTGATTTGGGAGATTGTTCACGATATGTAAACTACACCCCAAAACATCATCTTGGCTAACGATTTGTTCTCATGACTTATTGTGCTAATGGTATTAAAGAACACTACACGAAGAGTGAGTGACATAGTGAGTTGGGTTTAACGCCGCTTTTAACAGTATTCCAGTTATATCGAGGCGTGTCAGCTTAATGTGGGAGGAAAGCCCGAAGTGATGCAGGTCTCAGACGTTTACCACTTTGATGAAACCCACGAGCACAGGTATGGTGCTGACAAACCTAGAAACATAATCGGGGCAAACTGGGATTCGAAACCACAATCATAGGTGCATAGGTCTGCACAGTGAATCGCAGCACCTTAGACGACTGGGCCACCCGTGCCCCCTCTACACGAAGATATAAATACATTTCAGCTTAACGTCTGTATCCGCTGTTGTTCAATGTTCATGTTCATGTTCATGATCAATGTGTATGTTCAATGTTCATGTTCAATGTTCATGTTAAATGTTCATGATCAACGGTCATGTTCCATAATCATGTTCAAAGCTCATGATAAATCATCATGATCAATGTTCATGTTCAATGTTCATGATCAATTTTCATGTTCAATGTTCATGATCAATGTGCATGTTCAATGTTCATATTCAATGTTCATGTTCAAAGATCATGTTCAAAGTTCATGTTCAATGTTCGTGATCGATGTTCATGTTCAGTGTTCATGTTCAATGCTCATGATCAATGTGCATGTGCAATGTTCATGATCAATGTAAAATGTGTTAACCATTGCGCAACGAGTTGACAATTGTTTTAGGTATGCCCATTTGCGCAAACCCGGTCGCAAAATGCGCAAACTCGGAGGTTCACACAGATTAACCAGCGCTTTTAAATCGTTCACACTTCAAATGAACCCATCCAAACTGACGTTCAATGTGCATGTTCAATGTTCATGTTCAATGTACATGATTAATGTGCATGCTCAATGTTCATGACCAATGTTCATTTCAATGTTCATGTTCAATGTACATGATGAATGTTCATGTTCAATGTTAAGGATCAATTTTCATTTCAATGTTCATGTTCAATGTTCATGTTCAAAGTTCGTGTTCAAAGTTCATGTTCAATATGCATGTTAAATGTTCATGATCAATGTTCATTTCAATGTTCATGTTCAATGTTCATTTCAATGTTCATGTTCAATGAACATGATGAATGTCCACGTTCACGATCAATGTTCAATTCAATGTTCATGTTCAATGTTAAGGATCAATTTTCATTTCAATGCTCATGTTCAATGTTCATGTTCAAAGTTCGCGTTCAAAGTTCATGTTCAATATGCATGTTCAATGTTCATGATCAATATGCATGTTCAATGTTCATGTTCAATGTTTAATGTTCATGTTCAATGTTCATGTTCATTCTACATATTCAAGATTCATGTTCAATCATCATGATCAATGTGCATGATCAATGTTCATGTTCGAAGTTCGTGTTCAAAGTTCATGTTCAATATGCATGTTCAATGCTCATGATCAATGTTCATGTTCAAGATTCATATTCAAGATTCATGTTCAATCATCATGATCAATGTGCATGATCAATGTTCATGATCAATGTTCATGTTCGAAGTTCGTGTTCAAAGTTCATGTTCAATATGCATGTTCAATGTTCATGATCAATGTTCATGTTCAAGATTCATGTTCAAAGTTCATGTCCAATGTTCATGATCGATGTGCATGTTCAATATTCATGTTCCATGTTCAATGCTCATCATCAATATGCATGTTCAATGTTCATATTCAATGTTCAGATTCAATGTTCAATTTTCTGTGTTCATGATCAATGCTCATGATCCATGTTCATGTTCAATGTTCTGTGTTCAATGTTCTGTGTTCATGCTCAATGTTCAGGTTCAATGTTCATGTTCAAAGTTCTTGTTCAACGTTCATGTTCAATATGCATGTTCAATGTTCATGATCAATGTTCATGTTCGAAGTTCGTGTTCAAAGTTCATGTTCAAGATTCATGTTCAATGTTCATGTTCAATGCTCATGACCAATGTTAATGTTCAATGTTAATGCTCAATGCCCATGTTCAATGCTCATCATCAATGTGCATATTCAATGTTCATATTCAATGTTCAGGTTCAATGTTCAATTTTCTGTGTTCATGATCAATGCTCATGATCCATGTTCATGTTCAATGTTCTGTGTTCATGTTCAATGTTAATGTTCATGTTAGACGGTCGTGTTTAAATGAACAATCCTTGCCGTTTTCATGTATTCAAAGATTGCATCAGTTTGTCAACTTTGGCAGTTCTAGTGGGCCCTTGTCAAGCCCTTTCTCCTTATGGCAATAAGGCAGTATATTGTGAGCTGATGAAAAGGAAATACTCCATTTTACATACTGAAAGAAACTCTTTATTTTAGAAACTTGACGTTGAAACAAAACTTAAGAAGTCAGCTATGCGACGGGTCTTCTCTTGACATAACTGTTGGATCCGGATTCTGTGTGTCTTCTCGTCTGGTCACGCCCCTGATGTCACGTTATGTAATGGGCGTCCCTCCAGAGTTTGAAACTAGTATCTTTAACAGAAATAATCGCACAACATAATAAACATCGTTTGTGTTTGGTTCCTGTTGACAAATTGGAATCACTTTTGCTCGGCACAAATATCGTGAAGTAGAAATTAATTATTTTGAATATGTTGAATGGGTCAGGGGTATAATTAAAAGAATGAAGACACAATACTAAGATAATAGGTTTTTTTGTTCTCATTTGCACAGGAAATTCGGCATTTGTTTCTATCCTTGCTATATACAACCAATTCAAAACTCTCACAATGAACGGCATTCAGTTAATAAAGTAACAAATCAAAACAAGTTACATTCAATGGCTGTGTTCGATTTGTAACACGTACATTTTTTAGCAAACATTATAATTATAGTGTGTGTGGCTGCTTATACTAGTCAGGACTAATGTTGATTTTATGGTGCTAGCCCACTGAGATACCATGCCGCAGTTAAACATGAATACCCCGCTCAGACACAGTATACTGACTCCGACCCGATCAGTCCTTGTATAAGACCACAAATGCCGAGCGCCAGACAGGGCAACAACAACTGCAATTTTTAACGTCTTTTGGCATGACGCGGCCGGGGATCGAACGTCCAGGCGGACGTTCTACCGCTGGCCACCGAATCGACCAGTTTATTTTAACACCGAATCGATCAGTTTAGTTTTACACCGAATCGAACAGTTGAGTTGAACACTGAGTTGATAATTTGAGTTTAGCAAGGATTCGAGCAGTTGAGTTTGACACCAAACTGAGCAGTTGAGTTTAACACTGAATCGGTAAGTTGAGTTTAAAACCGAATCGAACAGTTGGGGGTTAACAACGAATTGAACAGTTGAGTTTCCCACCGAATCGAACAGCTGAGTTTAACAGCGAATCGATCAGAATGTCAGTTATATCACGGCGTTTCAACTTAATGTAGGCGGAAGCCCGAGGTCACGCAAAAGGTAGATGTTAACTGTTTTGTTGAAACCAACGAGAATAGATGTGGTCCTGACAAACCAAGGGTGCATAAGGATTCAAAGCAACGACCATCAAATTCTTGTGCGGCTAAGAGACGCAAGTCCCCTCAACGAATTCAGCGCCCCGACAACTTTTTGCTTGGTGTAACCGTGCTTCTAAACGAAAAAATGGAAACCTTGAAAATATCGCAAAAGTAAACGGTTCCGATATGCCATACGATGCCTCACTCACGTGCGCTACCTCGATAACATGGATGGTAATCTGGAAGAAATCGAGTTAAATCCCCACTGGCCTAATTCTTTGGGGTGCAATGTCTCTACTTTGTTCATATGAAACCTCAGACCGGTGATTTTAGCTTTTAGAATAAGAAGGCATATCAAATCTGAAATGTCATACCTCAAATATACAATACTCTACAGTTACTACTATTACTTACTCTACATTCCTAGAGGTGATTGGGGCTCTCAAGGTGCAACGATATGCCCTCCCTTATAAGCTGGGAATTTCCTCTGGGAGCTCATGTATTTCCGTAGACTGTGAACCATCATTCTTTGCATAACTGCCCTGAAGTCGGCAGGGCTGAACGGGTTCAGCATATTGCTAGTACCTATAGATGGGTCTATGTTGCGGGTTGAAGAAAACCTTGGTTCAAGTGGATGGTTCAGTTTGGCATTTACTGAGTTCTCTACTGTCTTTACAGGAACAATATTTTCTATGTGGACTGGAGTCTGGTCAACAACTGCTGCCCCAGCCTGATCTGCAGCTGGTGTTGTCTGGGTTACTGCTTGACCACTGACATATGTCTGTGCGCCGCTTAGATCTGCAGCTGGTGTTGTCTGTGTAGTTGCCTGACCATTTGGATTAACAGCTGAATAGTCTGCAACTGCCCGACCTACAGCTGGTGATGTCTGAACACCAACAGGAAGAGGTGTTGATGTCGTCGTGTATGCACCTGCCTGTCCGCTAACTGGTGTATGTGCACCTGTAAGATCTGCACCTGAATAGTGTGCACCTGCCTGACCTGCAGGCGTTGTCTGACTTGGAGCTGTAACTGGTGCCTGTGTTCCTGTTAGGCTTCCATGTGACACCTCTGTTTGACCTACAGCATGTACCGGTACTCCCGGCTGACCAGGAGTTGACTTCTGTAAGTCTCCTTGACCTGTAGCATATAACGGTACGTTTTCCTTACCAGGAGTCCATTTCTGTATCGTCCATCGACCTGCAACATATACCGGAAACCAAATCTGATCTGAAGTCGATGTCTGTTTGCTTCCCTGACCTGCATCATAAACCGGTGTCCCACTCTGACCTGAAGTCGATGTCTGCATGTTCCCTTGGCCTGCATCATACACCGGTGTCCCACTCTGACCTGAAGTCGATGTCTGCATGTTCCCTTGGCCTGCATCATACACCGGTGTCCCACTCTGACCTGAAGTCGATGTCTGCATGTTCCCTTGGCCTGCATCATATACCGGTGTCCCACTCTGACCTGAAGTCGATATCTGCATGTTCCCTTGGCCTGCATCATATACCGGTGTCCCACTCTGACCTGAAGTCGATGTCTGCATGTTCCCTTGGCCTGCATCAGATACCGGTGTTCCACTCTGACCCGAAGTCGATGTCTGTCTGCTTCCTAGAGCTGCATCATATACCGGTGTCCCACTGTAACCTGAAGTCGATATCTCCATGTTCCTTTGGCCTGCATCATATACCGGTGTTCCATTCTGACCTGAAGTCGATGTCTGCATGTTCCCTTGGCCTGCATCATATACCGGTGTTCCATTCTGACCTGAAGTCGATGTCTGCATGTTCCCTTGAGCTGCATGATATACCGGTGTCCTACTGTGACCTGAAGTCGATGTCTGTCTGCTTCCTAGAGCTGCATCATATACCGGTGTCCCACTGTAACCTGAAGTCAATGTCTGTCTGCTTCCTAGACCTGCTTTATTTACCGGTGTCCCACTCTGACCTGAAGTCGATGTCTGCATGTTCCCTTGGCCTGCATCATATACCGGTGTTCCATTCTGACCTGAAGTCGATGTCTGCATGTTCCCTTGGCCTGCATCATACACCGGTGTTCCATTCTGACCTGAAGTCGATGTCTGCATGTTCCCTTGGCCTGCATCATATACCGGTGTTCCATTCTGACCTGAAGTCGATGTCTGCATGTTCCCTTGGCCTGCATCATATACCGGTGTTCCATTCTGACCTGAAGTCGATGTCTGCATGTTCCCTTGGCCTGCATCATATACCAGTGTTCCATTCTGACCTGAAGTCGATGTCTGTCTGCTTCCTAGAAGTGCATGATATACCGGTGTCCTACTGTGACCTGAAGTCGATGTCTGTCTGCTTCCTAGAAGTGCATCATATACCGGTGTCCCACTGTAACCTGAAGTCAATGTCTCTCTGCTTCCTAAACCTGCTTTATTTACCGGTGTCCCACTCTGACCTGAAGTCGATGTCTGCATGTTCCCTTGGCCTGTATGATATACTGGTGTCCCACTGTGACCTGAAGTCGATATCTGTACGTTCCCTTGACCTGCTGCATATGCCGGAACCCCATTCCGACCTGAAGCTGATGCTGAAACGGAGGGCGAACCTGGCTTCATCATGGCAGCACGCATCCTATGCATGTCATACTGATAGTGTTCTGCCATTTTTCTAAATTGATCAAAAAGACCCTTCATCAGTTGTGACTTCACTGTATTGGTTGCTTGTGTTATTTGTTGCTGTCGATGTCGCTTCCCGCCAGAGGGCGAAGGTGTAGTTTGAAAAGACCGGGATATAGTTCCTGGCGCTCCTTGTGCCTGTTTTTTAATATATGATGGTTTCTTTAGGGAGATTTGCAATACCGTCTGTGGACGAGCCTTGGGAATATTAGCTGGCGCTGTGGGTAGTGGAGACGTCACCTCGTGGGCCTCAGGGGCTTCGTATTCATAATTTGGGGGGTAGGTGGACATTGCTACGCTCCGGGAGATTGGAGCTTGACCTTGAAGCTCTTCAGCTGGTTCGATATCTGGCGCTTCGGTTTCGGCAGTTGCAGCTGTTGCAACTGGGTTTGGTTGACCTGGTCTTAGTGGAACATGATTTAGTGTGCTGGCTTGTCCTTGGGCCACCTCTTGTGCTTCAACTTCGACCTGGCTCTGCTGCTGTGCTTGTCCAACGCTGAGGCAGAGGCACAAAATGAGGGTTGGGCCCTGAAATGTGAAACAAATGATGATCATTTTACCCAGAACTACTTGTTATTTTGTCACACTATTTACGGTGACATGTCTGGTTATATATATTCCATATATTCAATTCAAAATGGCATCAAGCTGGCCATCTGCCTAGTTGATTTCTTTAAGAAATAAACGATAAGTGGGAGTTATTTATCGTACAATAAAAACACTGCAGGGAGAATAAATCACGAGGGGCGCAATTCATATACTTTATGTTACAATTATCTGTATAGTGTTCTCACCAAGTTGTTTCAAAGTACATCTTCGCTAAGCCAAATGATATAGATGTCCAGTTGTGATATATTTATACAAAATGCGTTTGTGGCATTTAGAGGTTGGATATTTAACTGATGACGATGATCAACCTCTTCATTAACATGGTAGCGACGTTTCGGCGTAGCTTCTATCACTTGCTTTGTAACGGTGTTACGAGTGTAATAAAGAAGATGATAATCTTTATTATCTTGTCATTAATATTCATTCCTAAATAGGTACAATATGTGAAGCCATTTCTCGTGTCCCGTGATATTGCTGGAATATTGCTAAACATGCGGCGTAATACCATTCTCACTCACTAATATTCATACGAACAGTAAAAGAAAGTAACCGGAGGAATCCCACTAATGACTGCGATGAAGTTAACGGTAATTTCAATTAACATATAACTTATATTTTATACTCCATGACTAATGAATCAAATCCGAGCAGAAAAATGAAAAGTAGGAACAAAACATCAATACAATTACGTCTCAAATTGATAATTGTAAATGTAAACTTACGAAACTGGCGTGAAGCCTTGACGACATGATGTCAGTGGAGTGGCTGAAGTGGCTACTGATATAGAAAAGACAGAGGCATATATATTTAGATGAAATGTACAAGCTATTGACAAGCTATCAGTCAACAGTGACAGGTGTAACACGATGAGACAACGAACGTGATTTACGAGCACATGCTGACGTTCATTATCTACGGCTATATGCAGCCTGCAGGTAAAGTATAGCTTTATTACATTACATGAGGTAGTGTGTTGTGGAACGGAAGTGCATGTTTCACAGGAGAGTGGATATCCGTGTTAGGGTATAATCTTACCAGTTATCCCTGATCAGGGCCCCGTGAAATTGTAAAGTGTTTTGTCCCATGCGCCTTTGTTCAATGAAATATTTACATTTGAAAATATAGAGGAATTCATCTCCAATGTCAAAAGTATCACACAGCTTGCATAAACGTTCATTCAACGGAGTTCCATCTTCCTGTTTGTGTTGGCGGGCGGTGACAAGATGTCCCAAAGGTTAGTAGTTTAAAGGATAAGTAGGGAAGAATGTTTATTAAATATGTTTCAAGTTTATTGGCGATTTTAAAAATACGATGTGTGGAGCATTTCCTAGAATTTTAAATATCTGCTTTCCAAAATAGCCAATATGTATGAGAGAGTTTTAGACATATGATTTCAACCAGGAGGATGATATAAAACTCTGTGATATCCAGACATAGGAAATACCTTATTCATCCAAAATAGTTTTAATAAAAGACAACCATTTATAAGTGATTAACAATTGGGTCTCTATACAAGACTGAATACAATACAAACGATAGTTTGCTACATTTTCTTGACATAAGCTTCGACAAGAAATTTAACATTCTTAAGTAAACATCTTAACATTAGCTTCGACAAGAAATTTAACATTCTTAAGTCAACATCTTGACATTAGCTTCGACAAGAAATTTAACATTCTTAAGTCAACATCTACACGAAGGAGGGTTCTACCTAGTTCTCCATAGAGAATTGCTAAAGGTGTGCTTTTCTTTAGGGGTAATAATTTTCTGAGAAACTGTACGTGAACCTTTTCAATTAGTTTACGACGATCATAGCCCTATATTTCCCAACTATACAGTAGTATTGGTTTTACCATAGCGTCAATGAGATGGAGTTGGCGTTTAAAAGAGAGATTGCTGTTTTTTGTTTTAACAGATTTAGAAAATGTATTATTGCTTTGGAAATATAAACCAAGATGTTTATATTCATCCACAAAATCCAAATAATCATTCAAAATAAATTTCCTTCTTTTATCAATTTTTGCACCACAGAAAATAAGGGCCTTCGTTTTATCTGTGTTCAAAGTTAGTTTCCACAATTTACAATAAGTTTCAAAACAATTAAGTCATTTCTGTAGGTCTTTACGTGTCAGAGCTGGGAAGTAGACATACAGAAGTACAAATAAAACTAGACCAAAATCTACAAAACAATCAAGTGTAGTTGCATCGCTCAGTAACCCTGTACAATCATGTTGCGTACAACAGGATTCTAGATCATTCAAATACAAGGAAAAAGGAAATGGCGATAATTTTTCCCCTAGTCTATCTCCAACATTACAATCAAATAACTCTGACTTTAAACCATTCACAGACACATATGGTTTGATACGATCATACATTGATGTTATAATACGTAAGCATTTTCCATTAATCCCCTGGGCTAATAATTTACACCAAAGATTAATTCTCCATACACTATCAAAATACTTTTTAAGACCTATAAAACAGCAGAACACTTTCTGTTTTCGTTCTTTAAGCAACTCGATTTTTTTAAGCTATGGAGTGTGTGCTTCTGAAAGACTGTTTTCATTTACCAAGTAAGTGTTTATTCGACGTGCATCCACAGCGATGACCATATTCCATAGAGATCACTGTGAGAAAAAAAACCTGTTTCCCGTTCCACAAAGCGATCTTAGCACTAAGATGATCGTAGGCCTGTGTTAAAGTATGTTAAGATCACCTTAGCGCGGAGATCATTTTATGGAACGGAGACAAGATTTAATTTTCACAGTCTATTTTTTATATTTACCACAGATTTGTCAAAGTTTAAATGCATGTTATGTTTGAGAAATTAGGGATGTGTTTGAAGTTAGAGAATATACTCGTGCCTATCCGCTCGTGACAATGGAATGCTCGATCCTTATTCATGAGTCGACACGTACTTGTATGTTCACCTTAACGTAAACAACTCATGTATGCAATCAATCATATATTATATAATGGGTAATGGTATCTTTGAAATAAAATAATCCGATAAAGATGTTGTCACGATCCCATAAAAATGCAATGAGGTCACCTAGCCGGTACTACTTTTGATCAACTCTATTTCTTAATGCAGTGTCTACTTGCTCAATGAGACCGCCTCCGTGGTCCAGTAGTAGAGCGTCCGCCCGGAGAGCGGAAGGTCCGGGGTTCGATCCCCGGCGACGTCATACCAAAAGACGTTAAAATATGGCACTTGTTGTTACCCTGTCTGGCGCTCGGCATTAAGGGCCTAAACAAGGACTGGTCGGCTCGGAGTCAGTATACCGTGTCTGAGTGGGGTATTCATGTGAAACTGCGGCATGGTATTTCAATGGGCTAGCACTATAAATCGGCATCAGTTCGGACTAATACAAGCATAAGTGCAATAATCTTGGACGTGACGTTAAACCCCATTTCACCTCACCTCACCTACTTGCTCAATGAACCATTGTCTCACGTACCTCACATAACTATAGATAGAGGCTTCCCGATGTGTGTATTTCTTGAAATAAACATGGCTGCAAAGTATTTGGTGCTATATCATGGTACTGTTCACTCAGAGTATCATAATTCAATCATTCAGACACGGTATCTAGAGCTACAAATATGAGTGGCGTTATGTCTTAAAACATTGATTGTCTAAGGAGTGAGATATGAAAAAAAGAATGCGATATCGTAAATACCATATGTAGCGAAACAAAATGTGTATGCTCTTCATATCCAGTACGGATGTTGGCGGTCGGCACATGGTGCAAGGGAGGAATTGTGGTTATAATTCCTACTAACAAACGCAAATCCCCCCCCCCCCCCCCCCCCCCCCCCCACACACACACACATACAACCCCCTCTCGTTTTTCTCCTCGCTTGCCTACACATAAATGATATAAATTTAGCAATCAAAGCTAAATATACATAAGAAGCGTACATGTCAACATGCCAGTCATCCGTCATGCAGGTCAGCAATAATAGCCGTCCGCTCAGCAAGACTTGTGATGACCAATAACGGCACGTCTCCTTCATGACCGCGAATCATGTCAACATCACATGAGACTACAGAACTGAAGGGCTCGCATACCCAGTGACTGCTCTATACATCATTCTTGTTAACCGGCTTCCACGTGTGGTGGACAAATGGACAGACTAATAATCCAGTGTCCTCGGGGTGGATCATTTTTAGGGAGGTTATAAAGACCTTGTTTGTTGACGGGAACTTGTCGAATACAATGTCGTACTCATGTAAGTGGTGATAAGTTTTCCATGACGCAAATGATATAACATGTAAAGTCACTTGTATTCTCGCGGGTTCGTCGTCTTGTTTAAGAAGCATATGTATTTTGTTCACTTGAATGAATGAACCTGGAGGTTTTATGTGTATAACACTACTGACACTACAAGAACAATCCTAGCCATTTGAAATAGAATCTAGAAATATCGCGATTATTAATTATAATAACCGCTCGCAGTCACGTGACTGCCGATCCCAACCGACATTGTAACTACATCAAAACTCAGTGACGATGTTTTCCGCCAGCAAAATGGATATTTCTTGAAAAGAGCACTTTGTGTTTTTTGTCGTTGCTGGAAGTAATGTTCCATATCGCCGGTGTGGCGTGCTTTCGCTTTATAAGAATAAGAACACATGCAGATAATTTCCTTAATCTTTAATTGCTATGTTTCGTGATTCTATTTCAAGTGGCGAGGAATATAGAACATCCTACTCAGTTCTCTGCATCCTACACACCTGGGCGACTCCTTTAGATTGAGTGAGTTGAATTTAACGCCGCTCTTAACATTATTCCATTTATATCAAGGCGTGCCAACTTTATGTTGGAGGAAAGCCCGAAGTGAAGCAGGTCTTAGACGTTTACCACTTCGGTGAAACCCACGAGCACGGGTATGGTGCTGACAAACCTAGAAACATAATCGGCGCGAACCGGGATTCGAACCCACAATCATAGGTTTCTGGCGAGCCCAAGGGACGCAACTCTGCACAGCGAATCGCGGCGCCTTAGACGATGTATTTCAGTAAAGAAGAGCACATAGTTACTCAAAGCGCAAGTATACACTATGACATTAGGAACAATAAGAACACGTGCTGCTAATTTCCTTAATCTATAATTGCTATATTTCGTGATTCTATTTCAAGTGGCGAGGAATATAGATTATCCTAGTCAGTTCTCTGCAACCTACATCTGCACAGGGCTCGAGGAGATTCGGGATTCGAACCCACAATCATAGGTTTTTGTGGTTTCCGGTTAGTAGCCCCCTTTATCTAATTGCAGCCTCACTGTCATTTTTTTATAATCCCCACTAAGCTATACCTCTTATCAAATTAGAACAATTACCTAATATGTTAGATTAATTATAAATTTTAGACCATAAGCTCTATGAAATTAGCTGTCTTATAAAGTAATTCAATATTACTAAACTGGCGTCCAAAAGAAACTTTACCAACTGAAAATATAAATTTCAGACAAAGTATAAATTTTTTTTCGATGAAGTCTATCTAAAACACATAACCTAAATACAACAATAGTGTATGCAGAAAATGTTAATCGTCTGTTGCATGTTTGCGAGATAACACGCGAAAAAGTGAAAAACACATGCACCACGGACAACTTCAAATGCACGTGCGGGTAAGGGTATAAAACGATTGCAACGGCAAGTCAGACATCCACAGTGATAAAAAACACACAAAAGAAATGCCACGACTCACAGTCGAACAACGTGAACGAGCCTTGGGTATGGTACATATGGGAACCACCCATGC